CTGGAAAATGTGGTAAATCAGGTTTGGCGCTCTCGCCCTCCCAGTGGAAACCCTGTCCGAGGACGAGGAAGAGGAATGTTTGGGAGAGGTGTCCGAGGCGGTCAGCATCCGTGCCAACCTGTTTGGCTGTCCCTCGGGCAGCCAGGGCTACTCCCCGGCCCCGGGGGGCCCCTTTTCCGCCCTCACCCCCTCCATGTGGCCCCAGGACCTGTTGGCCTCTCTCGCTCAGGTGAGGGCTCGAACTGGAGTCACTCTGTACACCATGGGGCGTGATTTCTCAAATGGGTGCCCTTGAACCCTTCTTGGTTCCTGAAGGCCTTCTTGGGGTCTGAAGCCTTGGATGGTCAGTCAAGCCGAGCACTAAAACACTTTTTTCTAATTGATGCTGGCTATCCCACAAAGCTTAATAGACTAAACCATATGCCTTTATTTTTAGAATGCAATTAAATGCAAAGGTGCAAGCGAGCTGGACAAGAATGATGAAAATAATCCCTGGAGAAGGGGAACAAGAGGGACAAAGGACAAACACAAATCTCCAAACACAGCTAGGTGACTGGTGCGCGACCGAAAAAATCCGCCTGGTCCGGGTATCGAACCCGGGACCTCTCCATTACAGGTGGAGCGCTCTACCAATTGAGCTAACCAGGGGTTAGACATCAGTAGAGCAAACGGGTTTTATCAGCTGCCACCAGTCTAACACCAACAAGGGTGAAGCTTGCAATTTAAGGTTATAATTAGAATGCAATTAAATGCAAAGGTGCAAGCGAGCTGGACAAGAATGATGAAAATAATCCCTGGAGAAGGGGAACAAGAGGGACAAAGGACAAACACAAATCTCCAAACACAGCTAGGTGACTGGTGCGCGACCGAAAAAATCCGCCTGGTCCGGGTATCGAACCCGGGACCTCTCCATTACAGGTGGAGCGCTCTACCAATTGAGCTAACCAGGGGTTAGACATCAGTAGAGCAAACGGGTTTTATCAGCTGCCACCAGTCTAACACCAACAAGGGTGAAGCTTGCAATTTAAGGTTATAATTAGAATGCAATTAAATGCAAAGGTGCAAGCGAGCTGGACAAGAATGATGAAAATAATCCCTGGAGAAGGGGATTATGTTCCCCTTCTCCAGGGATTATTTTCATCATTCTTGTCCAGCTCGCTTGCACCTTTGCATTTAATTGCATTCTAATTATAACCTTAAATTGCAAGCTTCACCCTTGTTGGTGTTAGACTGGTGGCAGCTGATAAAACCCGTTTGCTCTACTGATGTCTAACCCCTGGTTAGCTCAATTGGTAGAGCGCTCCACCTGTAATGGAGAGGTCCCGGGTTCGATACCCGGACCAGGCGGATTTTTTCGGTCGCGCACCAGTCACCTAGCTGTGTTTGGAGATTTGTGTTTGTCCTTTGTCCCTCTTGTTCCCCTTCTCCAGGGATTATTTTCATCATTCTTGTCCAGCTCGCTTGCACCTTTGCATTTAATTGCATTCTAATTATAACCTTAAATTGCAAGCTTCACCCTTGTTGGTGTTAGACTGGTGGCAGCTGATAAAACCCGTTTGCTCTACTGATGTCTAACCCCTGGTTAGCTCAATTGGTAGAGCGCTCCACCTGTAATGGAGAGGTCCCGGGTTCGATACCCGGACCAGGCGGATTTTTTCGGTCGCGCACCAGTCACCTAGCTGTGTTTGGAGATTTGTGTTTGTCCTTTGTCCCTCTTGTTCCCCTTCTCCAGGGATTATTTTCATCATGCCTTTATTTCTCTGTTTCAGCGCCTCAAAGTTGGTTTGCACACGTTTAGTTTCCTTCCTTTACCCTTCTGTGATTGTATTGTATGCGTAGCGATCAGACAACACAGTGCATCGTCCACTCGCTGCACCTTTCGGGAGATGGCGCCACAGGTTACATTCATCGCTAACTCAGTTGTCTGCGAACACGTTCGCTGTTGACTTTGGCGAGTTTGTTGGTCTCATTCCTCTGCGGGAAGAGTGCTACATCTAAATGCACGTTTGGTGAAAGCTCAAGCTTTCTACGTGCAGGCTCCAATTTTGCCGGCTCCTTTTACAGTGCAAGATCCATTTTGGCCACGGGGAGATTTAGGGGAGGGAGGGAGGGAGGGAGGGAGGGAGGGGGGGAGGGGGAGGGAGGGGAGAAGAGGAGAGGGAGGAGAGAGGGAGGGAGGGAGGGGAGACAGCCTCTCCTATTCCCCCAAAATTAACCTTTTTTTTTAAGTTTTTGGTGAATAGTACATATTGGGTCAACAAAATAGATCCGGGCAATGCTTCGGCCATGACATCAAGTCTCGGCACACTCCCCTCCCTGCCAGCCGAATGCCTATCGCCTCTCCTCCTCCTCCCCAAACCTAACCCATAAATCTGCCCCTGCACAGCCACCCAATATTTAGCCACCTCGGTGGCTCCGAGGTCAAGCACAGGCCTATAGATATCTCGTTGGCGGGTTCAAATCTCGGCAGGTTCGAATCTCATTTTGCGTGACTTCCTCTGCAGCCCGAAGACACCGGCTGCCACCACGACTGTCGTTTCGACGAGTTTGGATTCAGGATCGAAGACGAGGGTGAGTGACTCCCTTAAAGGGAAGATGGGGCACTTCTACATTTGAGAAAAAACGCTTGAATTGCGTTCATTTGGCATTAAGAATAACAGATATCAAAATTATATTTCAATGCGACGCGCCGGAGAGCCACAAGAGCAATTTCAAAATAGGGCTGAAGCCCCGCCCCCCTAGCCTTGGGCAGCCAAAAGAGCCGTCGATGACGTCACGGACAGCGACAGTCTTTCGCGTTTTTCTCGCGTTTAACAATACTTACGTAGCAAATGGTTTGGGTATTCGGGTTCACGGGGTAAAAATACACTAGAATTCACTTCTAACTCATTTTTTCCAAGAAGCTCCGTAGCTTCCCTTTAATCATCTCCTTACTGGGGCACAGCATGCATCACCAATCACGCTCGTAGTGTGATGCAGTAACTCCACGGTGCCTAGAATGCGTCTGCAACTGGTGCGTTTAGCGTCCAAACCACCCGTGCGTCGAAAGGGGTCCCGAGGAGGCAACAAAATGTGTCGCAGAAGCCGGCACGACGTGCTGTCGAACACTGCGATCCTGGTGGTTGATCGTAGAAGTTTCGGCATAGGGTGCGAGCGAACCCAAATGTTCCCGTCGTTGCGGCATCCCAACTCGTGGCTGCCGAAGGTTTTGTGGATCGTAAAGCTGAGGAAAAATTCGCGCCAAAACGTTCGTCTGCCCGTTCCGCCTGTTCTAATGTGCTACCTCTCGAATCACGGCAGGCAAGGCTTCTGCGACTTCATCTGATGGAAATCGAGAGCTCAGAAATGAGGATGTGGCGTACGCTTTGGTTGAAGACGCGATCCAGGGACCATAGTACCGCCCTCCCTTGTGCCAAATACTTTCGTCACAGAACTTTCAAAGTTTCTGACAGGCTCACAGCAGTCTATCTCATTCATGCGCTAACCGTGTCCTGCAATGTATGCCACGATTAAGTACCATCCCTTCTTTTGGCTTGAGTGTGCGGTGGGCACTGTACGCACTTGTTGCAGCCTCCTTGGTTTTTTTCGAACAGACGGACCGGAGCAAAGTTCCCGTGCCTCCCAGGAGGAGGCCTTTGTGGAGAATCCGCAGCACCGGCTCCAGTGGATCGCCTACCTCGAGTTCACGCATAATGACGAGGTCGGTGACCTCACGTGGGACAAGGTGCGTTTCCTTCTCTCCCTTATCCGAGCATTGCTGCGCAGCATTCGTTTCTGTCAGCTTCAGGCTCACCTTGCTCGAATGTGTGCACGTACGTCGCAGGCCCACAACGTCCCAGATTTGATGCGTTTTGTTCTTTTGCGGCTCCGACTCAATCAATGTGCATCACGACGTCAAAAACACCGGAAGTTTTCATTTTTTATTTTTTTTATTTTAATACTTTCAGGACCAAAAAGGCATTTTAGAGGGGAGTGGGTTACGTAGAAAGAGAAACAGGAAAATACAATGCGAATACAGTCAAATCTCGTTAATTCAAACTCTCTTAATTCAAACTTGTGGATAATTCAAACTCACATGCAGGTCCCATCCTAAGGGAGGAAACTCCCGGTAATTCAAACTCTACTTTATTCAAACAAACTTTCGGTCTCCCTCTGAGTATGAATTAACGAGATTCGACTGTATACAGACATGCCAAACACGCAACAATAAAAAAAAAATCAAGTAATTATAATGACTCATGACAAAAATGTAGATTAATTATTGCATTTCTAACTCCACACTCGCAACCTGAGCCATGTACAGAAAGCGCAATTCAAGATTTATGACGGAGTACCGAGGAAGGAGGGTTAGTGTTACAGTTCCGGCTCATTGTTTTCTCCCTGCAGTTGATGCGAAAATCTAAACCAGAGCTTAATGGCAACTCTTCCTACCCCACAAGGGGAAAGAAACAATACACATGCTTTTTATTGCAAGTCTGGCACTTATGAGGAGAATGCAGCCGATTCAAGGCTGTGCTTGTGATTGGTGAAAGGCCATGGACTTAACTCCTTTCCCGAAAAAGACTCGGCACAGAGGAGAGAAGGAACATGAATCTGACTGGGCCATCAGAAGCGGGGCTTACGTGTGGATAGCTTGTGATTTTGTTTTTGGCTACTTTAAACGACTAAATTTTCGCGGGGACCTAATTTTTGCGAATTTCGCAAATGGCCTTCAATTTGCGAAAAATATGTCCCGCGAACAATTCAAGCAATATGTGAACGCTACGGAAGCTACACTCAATTCGCGAAGATTAGAACCCGCAAATAATTTCAAATTTTCAGCTTTGGCTCGATTTGCGAAAATTTGAGCCAGCGAAAATTAAGTCGTTTACAGTATATGAAGCTTGGAGATCGAGTTGTTTGAGTCGGGAAAAAAAAATGTCACGAGAAGCTTTCTACAGGATGTTTCCGAGCGCCATTCGGGCGTAAAACTTCTTTTATAAATATAGCAGTGAACTGTGTGCAGTGATGCTTTTCACAAAGCTGTCTTTAGCTAGTGCATTTATCATACCCAAATTTTATGAGTTTAGGTTTCAGGAACAGAATTTAATTAAGCCTAAAAAAAATCTGTTTCTTCCAATGCTCGGAGAGAAAAACGGCAAGAACCATCTGGTTGACACTGCTACTCACGTGATAGCACAACATAAAGCAAAATCGTGAAAGCTTCGTTGAGAGGAATACCCGAAAGCAGATCCAGCGTGGGCGGTCCCATCTGTGAGTATAAAGGCGTCAACCATACGGTTTTTAACTTTTTGCCGTTTTCCTCCCCGTGCATCGAGAGAAACAGGTTTTCTTCAGACTTACATTTTTTCTGTGAAGCCTACACCCGTGAAATATGAAAATGATTAACGATTAAAGGGCCAGCTAAAGACAGCTTTGGGAACTTTTTTTTACACCCTGCAAGTTCACCTGTAGAGACATTTGAGTAACTATGGCAACTACCACAGGGATCTGCGGTACCCTCTTTCTCTTGTAAGACGTCTTGATCGCATACTACAAAAGCCGTGCTTCGAGTCGACCAAACGCCTTTTCTTCCACCAGGTGGAGCCCCAGCTCCCACACAGCGACCGACTCCACTCGATGCTCCGCTCCGGCGGCATTCCGCACTCGCTGCGTCCGCAGCTGTGGATGCGCCTGTCGGGGGCGGCCCGCAAGAGGCTCTCGGCCGACGTCTCCTACAAGGAGGTGGTCCGGGCGAGTGCTAACGACCACCTGCTCAGCTCCAAGCAGATTGAAAAGGTCCGCTCCACAACCGTGGATACGGGAGAGCGTTTTAGTCTCTGCGGTCGTAGTACGGGACAGTCCGTCTCGAGCACGGTTGTGTGGATACCATGCGCTTCGCAGCTGCCAGATAGTCTTCTCACCTTGATGGCTACCGGCACCACCAGATGACTCTTCAATGATCGGCTAGTCATTGCCTTTTGCGTTCCCGGCTTTTCGTGCTTCTCTATGGGAGAAATGCTGGTTTTTAAGGTTGTTCTCTGTGTATGCCGCGTCATATAGTACTTCGCACTTGCGCTGCGTGTGTTGCTTGTAGACACTGCTTCGTGATTGCCCCTAGTTTCGTGCCTCAACGGTGGAACAGTTTTACGAAAGCATGAAAGCAGAGATCCCTGGTGCAGTGTTCGAACCAGCATCCGTCGATGTCAGGGTAAGTGCGCCGAGCCAAAAGTGAAGGCGCACAAGTGCCGTGGCAATGAGACGCTATCTTTTTTCTTTTTTTTTTGCTCAGTTGCATTATTTGCTCACTGTAGATGCTGTTAGAATAGGCTACTGGAGTGCACGTGGATAGAACTTTATCTGGTCGATCGCATCGCAGCATTCACCATGCTATGTGTCCACGCTTATACATATATCTTAGACCGTGGTCCCGAGTTGCGATCGATTGAATGTGGCGAATTTTTACGACTTCTAGATGCCGCACATTTCAAGTTTGCGTAGGGGTATAACGTAGAATCGAAGATGTTCTGAAACTTTCGGTTTGCGCACTTACCAGCGAGGGTCATAAACAAAAAGAAGTCTATTATTTGTCTACTGGTAGTCAGTGGGGGATGTGAATTTGCTGGTGTTGTACAAATATTCAAAGTTTTGAATAGTAATTTCGAATAATACACTATTCGATATTCGCTTCGAGATGAACTGTGATAGTATTTGTATTTTTCAAGGTGTTGATCACGGCGGGTTAGCCCCGTTGAGCGCGCTTTTTACCAAGCACGGGTGCACTGCAGAGAAGCAGCACCCGCGGAAACGAGCTCCGCGGGTGTTGCTTCTCCGCAGTGCACTTATGCTTGATGAGAAGCGCACTCAAGGGGGCTAACGCACCGCGATCTACACTTGGAAGAGTATGAATATCGCAATGCGGTGCTTGGGAGAAAAGCGCAATTTCAAAGCGAGGTGGTGCTCATGCGTGCCTTGTGCATTCAAAAAGAAATGTAGACTTTCTGAGTGTTGGTATCTACATTGCAGTAAAAGTTCCAAAGTTAGTCTGTAACTGTAATGCTAGACTATATGTTAGGCAGATTGTTGTGACAACCTGCGTTCATCATTCCTAACTTTTTTTTTTTTTTTAATTTGGGGTTGAGGAAGGAATATTTGCATATAACAAGATTAGTAAATCCACTCAATTATGTATAGCTGAGTATCTCTATAGCTTTAATTATATGCCTAATTGTTGTTTTCTTGCCATCCGAAAGCATTGGACTTTCTGAGGTCACAGCTCTATAAGTATAGTTAGAATAAAATTGGCTTATAAATAGACAAGTTGAGGAATGGAAACAACCTTCACAAGTTCAGCCAGGCATTTGTTTAAGCATGATGCAGCAGCAGTGAAAGGCACGGAAAATCTATTTGATTTGAAAATATTTGGCCAAAACCACTCTTCGCTTTGAATTCACTTTGAACTTTTAATACACTATTTGCACATGATTAGAATTTGCACTAGCAGCCTTTAAAGACGTGAAAACATGGCACACAGATGTAGAGGATGGAGACCTTTCACCGTTGTGCCGCTTAATGAGTGCATAAAAAGACATAATATTCGCAGTCTTTGGCACATGCTAGCCCAAGTGATAAAAAAAATTTGAAGACACACTTCCAGTATTTGATGTTGCATTTCTCTGAAGGTTTGCAGGGTAATACTGAAAACTCCAAAGTGAAAGTGATTGTATGCACTCTTTTCACAGCAGCTTTTCCTTTTTTGACTGCAATTCTCACGAAACTAAAGTTTATGTATGGTAGTGTTGACCGGCTGTCTTTACTCGGACAAACGCAGTGCACAAGGTACTTACGAAACTGAAAGGATACTGCTACGTTAGAAAATAGATGAACACCATTTTCTCTCTCGTTCTGTCTTCCCATTGGTCGCAGGATCTGCTTCGGACGATGCCGACCAACGCCTGTTTCTCGCACGCGACGAGCACGGGCGTGCCGCGCCTACGACGCATCCTCCGGGGCCTCGCTTGGCTCTACCCAGACATCGGCTACTGCCAGGGAACCAGCATGGTGAGTCTTTGGCGTTCGACTCTTCCAAGCTCCGCATGCGTCCTGAGGAGCGTCGCAGGATTTCCGTGGGAGTCATCCTTTTCCCGGGCTGAATGTGCGATTTCGTTAGCCGGTTCCCATTACTATGCAACCTTAAAGATCCGTTGTGATGTACACCACATACGTCGTGGGCCCTTAGGTCAGATCTGTAGAGCTGTCTCAGATGTGTGTCTTTCGTGTAACATGTGCTGAAAAATGCAGACGATACCGTCACCGTCGTAGTCAACTGCACTATACAGTATAGACCACTTACATTGTAACCGCTTATAGTGCAGGACCGGGTATAACGCGGTTTTTTTAAACCACCGGTTTGCCTCCCATTGAACTCCATGTAATTACATACCGCTTAAAATGCAGGCGCGCGAAAGGAATACCGGTTGTAGTGCGGTTTCTGGAACAGCCCGCCGACCGCGCCGACGACCGGAGCAGCGAGCACGCTTCCTTGTGCGACACTAGATAACGGCGCTGACGGCGCTAGCCGCAAGCAGCACTCACGGGGCAAGGAGGTTGCTCGAAGAAGCTGGAAGAAGCGAAGAGAGACACACGCACGTGTCGTTCACATGCGTGCGTCCTTTCGCTACGTTGGAAAACAACCCCACGAAAGACCAATCGCAGGTCGAAGAGAAGTGTTCGCGCGCGTTGCATGCCGGTCGCGGGCCGGCTGCTTCTAGCCGCAAACATGGCGTCGGTTGTGATCTTCGTCGTGTTCGTCATCGATCCGCGTAAAAGCGCTATCCTTGACTGTGAATTTTTGTTGTGTGTCGCTATGATAACCCAGCAGGTACTAGAAGGGAAGATCCACCTACTCGCGCGGCGATGTCGTGGTGGCGCTCTCAAGACGGCAGAAACGCCCGTGTCGTCGTGTTTGTTTACTTCGACTGCAGTGGTGATTTCTAAGCATTTGTGTTTTCGAGCATCGCCCGGATTTCTTATTTGGCGCATTTCATGCCTGTGCTCAAGTTGAAGGTATTACTGGCGCGTACCGTATGAAGGATGCGAATTTTCACCCGTATTCATCACCGGAGAAAAGTGATCAGGGTTAGCAATCCTGAACGCTCGCAACGTCCGTCCGCAACCCGCGACGCCGTTAAAAGGCTGCGCCAGGCAAAAGCCGCTCATTTCTTTCAAAATGTGTGACACACTTGAGAGAGAAGTGTACTAGTCTGGTGAAATAAAGACTTTCCTCAAACTAAGCTTTATTTTTCATCAAACATAAAATAAATTCTTTTACAAAGGTAAATTATCTCATGGCATGTATTTTGGCCTGAAAAAATGATGTTTTGGTTATAGCGCGGTACTGCTTATAGTGCGGATTTTCGCGACTCCCGCGACATACGTTATATGCGGTCTACACTGTACTTGCCAAATACCCCACCCGATTCTTACGGCTTCTATATGCTCTCGACAGTGTTGCCCCAGACGCTCGGTAGCACTTGGGCCTACGTTTAAAGGGACACTAAAGTACTCCCCAAAAAAAATTCTTTTTTTTTGTCACGGGTTACAGAAACAATATGAACTTTCCTGGAAAAAAGTTTTTTTACTGCAATTGTCTTTGTGGGGAGACTTGTTTGAGCAATTCCAAAATGTGTTCCTATATTGGGGAAGACATCTTGAAATAAAAGCATGTTTTGGAATTGCTCCCAACTCAAAACATGTCTTGTAATGTAAATATTGCTTTAAAAAATTTGTATATTTTTGCAAAAGTTTATTTTATGACATTGCATTACCTATCCTCGCACTTCGGAAAAAAAACTTTGGGGGAGTTCAGTGTTTCATGAAGCCCAATTTTGTGTGAATTTACGTGCCACCGCCGTCAAGCCGGCCCCACGTGGTTTGTCGTGCGTTTGTCGACCAGCACGCAAACAAGTACCGACGTTGTTTGTTTAGAGGAACAGACTTCCGCTTCAGTTTTTTTGCCCAAAACCAACACGTGCCTTGCAACAGCACACATCTATTACAGACACCATACTAAACACACTCCAAATACGCACCAAGCGAAAAGATAACTTACAGGTAGGCCTAAGCCCCGTGGCCACCCGAGATTACACTCTCCAAGCACTTGCCAGTTGGCTGTTAACTCTACAGTAGGAGAGTAGTAAGTTGTGCGAGTTGGTAAACGTTGAACATGGTTAAAATCGCGCACAAAGAGACGAGGACAAACGAGGAAGGAACACAGAACACAGACAGGCGCACACTCATTGGTGCGTGCCTGCCCGCTTTCCCCTCGTCCGTTCCTTGTGCATCCGACAGGCAAGGAGCTTTCTCCAAGTCTCGCCAGGGTGCAGCAAAGCGCCATCCCTTAGCTAGAAGGAGAAACAGAGGCCAGGAATTAACTTAAACCCTCCAATCTACCCTGTGAGGAAACAATCATTTGATTGCTTCTGGGTCGGGGCTCCCAAATAGCCACTTGTGAGCACTAAGCCAGGGAGACGGGTGTCCTCATGAAATCACAGGAAGCCATAACTTGCTCGCCCAGTTTCACTGAGTCCCCCTTTGAGTCCTGCAACACCGTCTGCTCTTAACGGAGGGCCATTGTATGGGGCGGTCAAGCCCCGTGAGATAGTCGTCCGTGGGCTGCTGTTTGGGGCAGTGGGCCGAGGCTGTGGGTGCCTTGCGCAGATAGCGGCGAGCCTGCTGCTGTTCCTGGAAGAAGAGGACACATTCTGGATGATGTGCACCATCGTGGAGGACATCCTTCCAGCCTCATACTACTCGAGCACCCTGGCAGGGGTGCAGGCCGACCAGCGGGTGCTCAGGGCTTTAGTCACCGCCTGCCTGCCGGACCTGGACGCGGTCCTCCGTGAGCACGACATCGGTATGCATATGTGGCTATGACCTTAATAGATCAATCAATTAGCAAATCAATACCTGTATGCGGTCCCCTGTAAGCATGACATTGGTACGCATGTGCGGCCATGACCTTAGTCGATCAATCAATGAACAAATCAGTACCTGGACACAGTCCTCTTCAAGCACGACATCGGTATGCATGTACGGCCGTGACCTATAGTCAATCAATCAATGAACAAATCAGTACCTGGATGCTGTCCTTTGCGAGTATGACATCAGTATGCATACAGCCGTGACCTTGGTCAATTTGTTGATCAGCAATTAATCGAGAGATTGATCAGTCAATCATTGGGTCATTCAGTCGATCAACCAATCAATACCTGGATGCTGTCTACGAGCAGTTTGGTATGCATGTTCAGTTGTGATATCAGTTGATCAGTCAAGGGATTGATCAGTCAATCAAAATATCAACCAATCAGTCAATCAACCAATTTATTTATAAACCAACCAAGCAGTCGGTCAGTTTATCAATCAACCAATAAGTCAGTTGATCAATCAATTAAGTAGCCAATCTATCAACTATTCATTTGACAAACCAATTAGTTAATCAATCAATCCGTTGGTCAATCAATTTATTGACCAAGTGGTAAATCTGTTGATTAATTTGCCAATCCATCAACCAATCAATCAGTTCATCCATCAATTAAGCAGTCATTTAACCAACTGTTTGATTAACCAATCTGTAGACCACTGAATCGGACAGTTGATCAATCAGCTAATTGTTTGCTCACTCAATCTGTTGATCATTCGATCAGTCAGTTGATTAGCCAGTTAATCAATTGATCAATCTATATTTTATTTCACACCAGACACTGATCGGATAGATGCTGATGTAGGAGACGTGCTTTGGGATGCTGAGGGTGTGAAAGCATGTTTGTCCAAAAGGGGACTTAGAACTACTAGATCAGCCAAGTTTCAGAGTCACGACGCTTGAAGGCCTGTTCACAGTTTTGCAATCGATTACGACCGACACAACCAATTCTTGAGCCGCTTGTGACTGCTTATGACCGAACCACACATCAGCGATGGCGTTCGTAGCAAGTCGGTGCTGGTCGTAGTCAGCCGCAAAAGTGTGAACCAGCCTTCGGTCATCTTGGTGCTCATTGTTGCCAGTTCTCCAGAGTTCTGTTTATGAGAGGTTGTGCTGTTTTGCACCAACTATGAGTATAGTATGTGGTACGGCACCCTTGTATTTGTTTTTTGTCATGAACTTTCAACGGTGTTTTTTCCCCCCTTGGTGGCCGGTAGTCTGTATAAATAAATAGACCTGATACCATGGTGTACACGTGCGTGCAGAGCTGTCGCTCATCACGCTGCACTGGTTCCTGACGCTGTTTGCGAGCGTGGTGCACACGCGGGTACTGCTGCGCATCTGGGACCTGCTCTTCTACGATGGCTCCATCGTGCTCTTCCAGGTGCTGTTGGGAATGCTGCATACTAAGGTGAGGCTGCCTTAAAGGCCCATGCTTAAAGGCCCATCAGCTTTAATTGTGCCATTATAGTGCCCTGAAATGCAGTTGTTAGACTCCATATGTGGTGTTAAAATCAGCTTCAAAGTTGCAATAATAAGTGGCCTTAAAAGCATGTCCTTAAAGGCCTATAACATTTTTGCACTGGTTGTGTCTTGAAGTTCAGTTGTTACTTTTCAGGGGGTCTGTTAAACTCGTCTTTCAGGTTACACAAAAGGTGGCCTTAAAGGCCCGTCGGCATTTGTTGCACTGGAAGTGTCCCAAAGTCCAGTTTCTGTGAGCGACGGTAAACTCATTTGTTGGGTGCTTTTAAAAAGCAGCCTTAAAGGCATTCTATTAAAAGCCCATTGCATTTGTTGAGCTGGCACTGTCTTCAAGTTCAGTTACTTTCTGTGAGCAGCATTAAACTCATCTCTCAGGTCACATTAAAAAGTTGAAAGGCCCATTGCATTTGTTATGCCAGTACTGCCTCGAAGTCCAATTGTTACTGGGAACGGCATTAAACTCTTCTGGGTCAAACCAAAGAGAAGCAGCCTTCAGAGCATGCTTTTTAATGCAAAAGCATTAACTGGGTCCCATGGAGCGAGCTGACGTCATCAGTTTGAAGCGCGAAAACGGCACCTAGTTTCCCCAATCCCAAAGGAGCGAAGTAAAGCTGATAGATTTCGCCTTCGGTTCCATTGGCTGGCGCGCGTGGACAGGGCTTCTATCGATTGCTGCGCTCGTCAGTTTCCACGACCGCTCACCCCACGGCGCTGCGTGTCCATCAGCGTGCCGTTAACACGGAGCGTCCAAGGTCAGCGTGCCCAGGGGAGCACGCACGCTGACCGGCGACGGAACGCAGCATACGAAAAAGGGAGCGGATGAGTGGCTTGCATGCTTTCGCATTCACAACTCATAAGAAGTGCCTAGATGCACCTCGAGATTTTTTCAGGTTTGTCTGCATTGGTTGCACCAGTATAGCCTTGAAGTCCAGTTGTTACTTTCCGAGTGGCATTAAACTTGTCTTCTGGAGAACTAAGGGGAGGTTGCCTTAAAGGTATGCATATTTAAGAGCCCATCTGCATTTCTTGAAAGTCCAATTGTTGCTTTTTGTGAGCAGCGCTAAACTTGTCTTCCGGGTCAAAAAGTAATGTGGCCTTAAAAATGCACACTCCAAGGCCAATGGTCACTTGCCCTTACTCCACCAAGGATGCCTTAAGATTTTTTAGTAAAAATTCCCGTGTGATGACGAGTAGAAGTCATCATCAGTGGCTTTAAGAGTGGAGGATGATGGTAATGTGCCTGAGGGGAAAAAGAACAAACGCATGCTTCGGAGGAAATGGAGAGATGCCAAATAACGAGGACAAAACTAGGGTATACGTTACTGCAAGAGACACAAACTTTGTGTTCCTTTCCTGCTGGAGGGTAAGCTTGGGCAGGGTTCTTTTCTTTTCTAATATAGACGCCACTCATTGTGATGTTTTTTGCAGTCGAAGCACAAAATGTGTACAAGTTCCTCCGTGCAAGACATTCTGTTTTAACTCTGCCTTCATCACAATAGTGCGGGAAAGAGGCAAATGTTTCTACAATTGCTGCGCACGGCAGAGTGTCTTGCTACTCATTCCATCTCTCTAATTTTGCTTTTTATGTTAGAGATGCCGCTGCATCGTTTGTTCCATCTGTAGTTTTGTTTGTCTTTTAATTTTTTTTTTCCTATGCCTAAAATTAGAGTTGTTGCATATTTTACTATTTTTTGTGTTGTCTTTGTTTCGCATGGTCTCAACTCTTTTTCGTTTGCTTTAGTGCGGACTAACACCTGCTGCACTATGTAATGAAGGTTTTAATTTTTCAGTCGTATATTCTGACATTTGGCAACATCTGCCAACCCTTGTTCTTTTTGCTTGCGGTTACTTTCTATTTTTGTCTGGAATTGAGCAACCAAAACAACTCTTCCGCTTTCAGTAGCGTCCCACTCTGACAGCTGCAGTGTTTATAAGTCTGTGTGCGGTGATGCTCGGCGTCCTTTTTGCATTTACCGCGGTGTGGCTGCGTATGTCTGGGCTCGTCTGCTACTGGTCAGTCTCTGCCGGCCAGCGATATCCACCGGGCCAACCGGCAAGTCGGCTCCAAATATCCGAGTTCGAAGTTTGTGCATCCTTTTTTGCGATTGCCCGTTCGGGTAAGAAGTCGTGACAAGACTATCGCGCCGTGCCTAGCACACGAAGAGTAGGTTTTTACACGATCCCTCGAACGTCTTTGCATCCGCTTCATGAACGAACGAATGTCAGTTTTTGTACGTGCCATAATCTGTTCGTTGCAGTTTCGATCGGTAGATTCCACCGTGCAAACACGCTACTGCAGAACCGCTTCAGGACCACTCACCACGATGCGTGGACGACACGGGAGGGTACGCATTTCGGGCTCCGTCGTGAAGCTGTATCGTATTTGATTCGGTTGAGCGTCGACTATACGTTCCACATTCTTCTTCGGCGTCTCCGAACGTTTCTTAAGCGCCGGGAATGCTTCATGGGACGATCATGGTACTCCTTCCATTGAAGGGATGCTCCGTCGATGTTTAGAGCTACCCCAAGTAGAAATGTTTGCTGAATTGCAGGAGGCAGAGCTGTGCTCCCTGGAGAACTCTGCGCAGATCTTCAACGCTCTGGCCGACATTCCCGGCGAGATGGGGGACATGGGGCTGCTTCTGGAGGCGAGCGAGCGGGCGTCGGCGGACGTGACGGAGGCAGCCATCGACGCCCTGCGCCGCAAGCACCTCGCCTACCTCATGGCCGACCAGGGGGCGCTGCTCAACCCCGAACATGCCCGCAACCTGCCCAAGCAGGTGACGTCCATCAGTGCCTACTTACCGCGAATCCAGTGCACCGAGGTAGTATTCTGAGCAATTCCGGCGTCATCGATAGCTGCGACACAAATTGCCGCCATTGATCCGGACCAAAACCGACAACTCGGTCTCCGCAACACGGGGATGCGCATTTGCGGTGGAGCCTTCGTTGCTCCAAGGGGCCATTTAGGAACTTACCCGCTTGCTAGGAGATAGGAAGACCACGTTATAAAAATTAAAAAAAAATAATCTGCGAGGTTTAACTTGGATTTTTTGGTGTTTCACCTCGAAGCTGAAAACGGATATTTGAGATGAAGAGAACCACATTGAGATGCTCCCTTACATTTGCTCTGTATCTACAATGATGCCTCCAACGATGGGAGGCGAAGTGTCTAATGGATTTATTTTGTTTTAGTTTAGTTTGACATCAACTTCCACAAATCAAAATTCCACTCGAAGTAGAAGCAGGGCACAAACAAACTGGTGTAAGTTGAACATAATTATGAAAATTCCCGAGACCAGAGTAAACCTGTGTTTGTGTCTTCCCGTTTGTTCTGTCCCACCTTCTTACCAAAGTCTCAAAGGGTTTTCGTAATAAAAAGTGCTACTCTTTTTTTCTTTCTTCTTTAACTTCCGTTTATTTTACGTTTGGTTTCGGTGTCAACAAGCGCCTACGATTTAATCTGCTTCCACAAGGGTTTGTGACGGCCGAAGGGGATGTCATCTCCGGTGTGGGGTCGGACCATGCGCGGACTGCAAAGGAAGCAGTCGATCCGGCCCGCCGAACGTTCCGCTCTCGCCCACAGCACCTGACGAGGCGCCAGGTGAGGCGCTCCAAGTCGGTGCTCCACATCCTGCTCCACGGCAGCGGTCCGGACGGAGGGGTCGGCGAGGACGACGTGCGGTCCAAGAACGTCCGCCAGACGGAGATCCTCGTGGACCTTCGGGAGGCCATCCTCCAGGTGGCCAGGCACTTCCAGGCCCTCGACCCCAAGCTCAAAGTGGTATGTTCGCGACCGCACCCACGGTTCCGCTGCGACACCCGACACGCGTCTCCGACCACCGCATTTACCGCGACCTCGAACATGGTCCATCGATACTTGTCCGGCGACGCCGTAAAAGCGTTGAGCTGTCGCCCACCGCGACTGCGACGGTCGCACGACGGCGGAGGTAGGTGCAGCAGACGCCCAATCGAAAGACACACCCCACCGGACTTTGAGGGCAATGTTTTGCCGCGCACACTCGTTGCAACCGCAAATCGTAATCGGCGAGCGGGTCGAGAGCCACGTGCGGTCCGTCGGGTTATGCTCGCGGCTTGGAGAAAAGGCCGGAAGGAGGGAGCGAAGACTTCCTTCCTCTCCCGTATCCCAGACGCTGTCCTCGGACTACTCCATGGAAAGCCACTCGAGGGACCACGAGAACTTCGCCAACGTTTCCCGCTCCCGCCATCGGCGCGCCAAGGCGCTGCTCAACTTCGAACGGCACGACGACGACGAACTGGGCTTCCGCAAGAATGACATCATCACGGTGTGTGGTGGCATAACGACGCGCTGCCTCTTCCCGACGAGTTCACCCGCTGTTTACGGGTGGCGTTCGTGGACCTGCTTCCCTGCAGAAAATGTGCATAACTGTGGTCCAGGCACGTAGCCAGGATTTTGATTCAGGCGGGGCCCACCCATGACAAAATGCTGTATGAGGGGGAGGGGGAGAGGAGGTCCCAGCAAAATGGAAGATTTCGGGAGGTGGGGGGGGGGGGCTTGGGTTCCGTGGGTTCCCCCTACGTGCCTGCTGTGGTCTGTGGCAGGTTATGAAAAGTGGGGCATGTCCCTCCCACAAAGCTGTCTGCTTGCCACGATTGGTGGTTTTCTCCTCCCCTACTTTCGCTCTGCTGAAGTGGAAAAGGTGGAGGGCTTTGTGGGGAGCAGCTTGTCCTGATTTTCTTAACCTGCAACAGACTATAGGCATCTTCGTTTTCGGGTTTTTGTACCTCGCAAAAATTTGGGATAAAATTTTATTGTTTACAGCCAGAATTAAAAAAAAATATATTTTCTTCCGTGTTTTTTTTTTTTTTTTTTAGTATAGGTTATTTGTAGTGCTGCAACTTTAATGCCTGCAGATGACTTTTACAGCCACAAGTGTCTCTTTTATGAACAAGGTGATTTTAGCTAGTGAATGTTTATCAGAAATTAGGGAGCTCCTTTCACAATCATCTGTACCTCAGTGCTATCGCTCGTATGCATGTCTCCAAGTGGGTGTAAAAGTGATGCTTGAAACTGCTTTTTCATGTTGGGAAGATTTTGAGTTCCACCTGATTTTGCTAAAACTTGTTGAAGGTCCAAATGCAGGTGAAAATCAGTTATTAACCAGAAACAAAAAACTTGACATAAAGCCATTCACCATGACTTATGACAGAGGTCGGCAACCTTTGCAGCAGCGGGCCGAGTTGTCTCAAAGCCAGCATGGCAGAAGCATGTGGCAAGTCACGAAGGGGGAGGGGGTGGCTTGCTGGCTGGCAGGGGGGGAGCAGACGAAGAAGACGCACAAAGGATGTGAAGACAATCTCTGCCCAATTGGAAGGGCTCCTTGTTCCTGTGTAACCCCGTTTGAGGTCAAACGGGGTTACACAGGTCAAAAGGGTCCTCGAGTCTACATGACGAAGCAGCAGGGAGGGGGGGAAGGGGGAAGAGAAGAGGAGAGGAGGGGGAGGGGGGGAGGGAGAGAGGGGGGGGCTTTTCTCGTGTAGTAGCGGCAGCCGCACGAAACTTCGTTACGGGCCATGGGTTGCCAACCCCTGACCTGTGACATTACAAAACCCATAAAGTCCATGTTTCTGAAATCAATCACGTAGTTTAACATTTTGGACAAAACCCCGAGACTGGGGGGAAAAACGACAACACAACACTTTGTGTTGTGTTGTCCTTTTTCCCCCCCAGTCTCGGGGTTTTGTCCAAAATGTTAAACCTTCACCAGCTTGTTTGCGCCCTAACTTTTTTAATCACGTAGTTCTTGACAGTCTCACACCGGTATCATGCCTCCGAGTATGGCCACCTAGTGTGGAGAGTTTGGCTATGTTTGTACTGCACAAACTGACTGCAAGTGAGGTGTGTTGCGGGTTAACAAGAGCGGGACAAGTGTACTGTTCATCATCATCATCAGATTATTTGTCACTATCAGTTTGTTATCATGTTTTTCCTTTCTTGGGTGTCACCGAGGGCATCCAACAAGCTACTCCCACAATGTGCTCCGTCCTCGTCTCCACTGGAGACGAAGAATCATGGCCAGCGGACAGCTGTGTGGGAGGGGCTTGCCTCGCTGTTCTTAACCTGCAATGGACTGTAAGAAGTCGTGGGCTCTTAATACCACTGCCCCGTCGGATTATTTCAGATCATCAGCCAGAAGGACGAGCATTGCTGGATCGGAGAACTCAACGGACTGCGCGGGTGGTTTCCGGCCAAGTTTGTGGACCTGCTGGACGAACGGAGCAAACAGGTGATTCCTCCGGCAACTTTTTCGGGAACCAGGGCTTCCTTGGGATCGGATATTGCGAGTCATCGCTCCAAACACAGCCTTCAATCATTCGACCAAAGCTGAAGTCGTGACCACTAGCTTCATTCTCACGGCTATTGCCGATTGGACGGCAAAGCGTTGGATGTCTCCGTGTTTACTGCACCTTTCGAAATCGGAATAAGACGGCGTGACGTCGGACATCGCATTGACTTGGACAACTGTGCCAGAAAGGCCCAGAGTGTGCGTGCGCAACTCGGTTAGCGTAAACACAACACCGGCGCTTTCTTTTTGTGTATGTTTTGCTCCGACGAGACTCCAACCGCGTTCCCCTGAACGATAGACACACTGTTTCTAAGCCAAGCCTGCACATCCACTATTTCACGGAGCACGTGGATGGTCAATCATAGCATCGACAATGGAAACGAGGTAACATCCGCACATGAAAATGCTATCTGTGCAAATTGCATTTTAGGGGCGAAGCTCCTTAGGGTCTAGCCTTGTTTGTCCGGCGTCCATGCTCACATTAATGCCATCCCATCTGTCTTCTTAAAAAAAGAAAAAATGTTTGCGCAGTCGACAGGATTCGAACCTGTGCGGAGAGACCCCAATGGATTTCTAGTCTATCGCCTTAACCACTCGGCCACGACTGCGGGACGAGTAGGGGGCTCTGAGATGTGGTAGTAACTCAAGAGCTGGGGATGTCATGGATAAACGTTGCATGTAGCCGCTCAACGTCTATACAGGAGAGGGCGCTGCGGTCAAATGCATATATAATCGCGTTAAACTTTTCATGCATTGGCTCAACGTTTATAGACGAGAGGGCGTTGCGGTCAAATGCGTATATCATCGCGTTAAACTTTGCATGCATTGGCTCAACGTTTATAGACGAGAGGGCGCTGCGGTCAAATGCGTATGTAATTGCGTTAAACTTTGCATGCATTGGCTCAACGTTTATAGAGGAGAGGGCGCTGCGGTCAAATGCGTATATAATTGCGTTAAACTTTGCATGCATTGGCTCAACGTTTATAGACGAGAGGGCGTTGCGGTCAAATGCGTATATCATCGCGTTAAACTTTGCATGCATTGGCTCAACGTTTATAGACGAGAGGGCGCTGCGGTCAAATGCGTATATAATTGCATTAAACTTTGCATGCATTGGCTCAACGTTTATAGACGAGAGGGCGCTGCAGTCAAATGTGTATATAACCACGTTCCATACCACACATTCTCTTTCTGACATGGACCGTTGACTTACACGGTGGAGATGCGCTCCCACAGCTTCTAGTGGATCCAAGCTGATCCGCTAGAAGAACCACTGGCTCTGCATTTCAGCGACCATAAAGCAGTAATAATGAAATCGAAACGCAACCCGGAACTCAGCACTACCTATGAGCAATAAAAAAAAATCAGCATCATCAGCACTACCTATGAACAATAAAATCAGTATCATCAGCGCCACCAGAGCTCAGCTTTGCCCCAATCAACATCATTCACCATGTGGAGATGCGGTAATTTTTTTGCGTAAAATGTTTTTCCAACCTCAGTATTCGTCACTCATTTTACATAGAATGTGGTCACATTTCACCATATATTGTTACATTTTATGACAGCCTTTGAGTTGTAGGAGGAAAACGGGAAAAGATGTGAATTGCTTGTTTGTTCTTGCTGTTTTGCTTTGTTTTTTTGTAAGACAGGTGCAAGAGCTAGCAAGTTTTTATTGCACAGACGAAAGTTCATTTCTGTTACTTGACCAGTGACTTGAGTGGACAACAGAACTGACACTCCCTTTTTTTCTTCTTCCAGTACTCCAGCGCAGGTGACGACTCAGTGACGGAAGCCGTCACGGACTTGGTCCGTGGAACGTAAGTTGCTCACTCTGATTGGCCGGTCTTTTATGTAGTCCAACTCAACATGGCGGCTTTTTTCTGGGAAGCTCGCCTCTTTCTGCTTTATCAGAGACAGTGCCTTTGTGTCTGATTGAGCCACAGCTTGCCCAATTGAACTTGAAAGAGTGTTCATTACCATGAAAATAAGTTTTTTTTTGTGCTCTTCTGAATCTTTTTAATCCTTGGTTAATCTCTCTTCTTTTCAGCCTGTGCCCTAGCCTGAAGGCTGTGCTGGAGTACGGCATGAAGCGCTCTACTATCCTGGGTGGGACATGTCACCCCTGGCTCTTCATCGAGGAGGTAAGCATGACGACCTTGGAATCACCTTCACAACTTTGGGGATAACTGAACCATCTTTTTTTAGAGCACAGCTCTTAGGCACTTGTTTCCGGCCTGAGCGGTGTCGCCGTCGCCATCGGCGTAACCGCACGTTGCATTCTAGGACGTTTCCCATAATGACGTCACATGTGACGAGTGACGTCCCGAAGGTCACGAGTGAAGGTCACAACCTTCCCAGTGACCTTTACAAGGCCTTCCTTGAGTGATGTCACGAGAAAGGATTAAGGGAGAGGAAGAAGGAAGGAGGAGAGCATACCCTCCTCTTGATACCTTCCCTGTCCTCCTCAAGGGCTGCGCTCTAATTCGGCATTACAGGATATTGTAAATGTCTTTCATTTTTTTATGCGAAGTTATGTATGTATCATATGGGTGTTTTGAAATCTAATGCGATTACCGTAAAATCCCCAGAGATGGCCCACCTAAAATCGAGAGAAAATTGTCCGGATGAAAACAAGGAGTAGGCTAACTTTCGGTGTGCGACCAAGGAATGTTGAGAGAAGTGCTATTTTTAGATTGTTATCGCAGCGAGGGGGCAATGAAGGAGATGACTGTACTTCCCAGTCAGCAATGTTCGCTTATATCCTGCCTTAGCTAACTATACGCATTTATGCCAAGGTAATCTATGATCCGAACACTGCGATTACTAGGAGTGGGCTATCTTTCGGTGTTTAAAAGAAAATAGCAAATCAAGCCAACAGTAGAAGTGGGTTACCTTTCGGGGGTGGGGCATCTCTCGGGATTTTATGGTGTGTATTTTCTTATTTTCTATATTTTTGTCCATTAGACTGTTTATTAGCATTTCTTTTTTTTTTTTCTTTCGTGCGTAATTCAATGATAAGGCAAAAATTATTGTTTATATGTCTTGTGTACCCTAGTTCTATATAAATATTGCTTCTCTATCTGCTGTAGTGTTACTAGCTTCTTTTTGTACGTGTTACGATGACGAGGCGGAATTACGATGTACGTATTTACCGTGGTTTCCCGCTATAATCCCGCCCCGAGATTTGCAGTTTTCGAAATCGGTAAATAATTGCGAAAATCTTCCGAAAGGTTGTTGTTAGTGCTGCACATACACGGAGCACATATGTTTCGGAGGTTTCCTCTTTATAATCCCGGAACATCCAGAATCTTGAAGGTCATTTAGTCTCATTGATGCGACTCTTCTAAACGACATTGAAGATACAGAGGCCATATTGCATGCTTTGTTTGTACATATGTAGCGATGTGACTGCGGCTTTTTTGCGCTGCGGACGTGAAGGTCATTGTGTCCCTTTCGACGAAGATGCTTCTTGTGGGGCCATCTGCGGGCCATCCAACGACATCCGTCGCCTCGTTCAACGTTGCGAAACGTCAAGGTGCTGTCGTCCTTTTTCAGGTTGCCAACAAAGAGGTTGAGAAGGACTTCAACTCCGTCTACTCTAGGCTCGTCCTCTGCAAGACGTACAGGTAACCAGACCTGTCAACTTGCCACCCTCTTTTCCAGTATATTTTTCCTAGCTTTGTTTGCGACCCCAGTGGCGGCTGAATTTGGTCATAAGTAGTCTTGTGCGAATAGTGTATTTTGAGTTCGAAGCGAATAGTGGTTTTGGCCGAATATTTTCGATTCGAATATCGAATAGTTTTTTCACGCCTTTCACTACCATAGCATAATGCTTAAAGGAAAACCCAGCTAAACTTGTGAAGGTTGTTCCACTTGTTCATTTATAAGCCGTTTAATTATCTATATTTATGAACTGTGACCTCATAAGGTCTGATGTCTTGGGATGGCAAGTAAACGACGATTTACATAAAATGAATCCATAGAGATGGCCAACTATACCCAATTGAGTGAATTTACAAATATTGCTATATAAAATATTCTGTCTTTAATCTTGAGTTAAAAAAGAAAGAACTGCACGTGATGGACGCGGGTTATAAGGGCATCTCTGTCTAACATCGTATACTCTTGCATAACAGTCAGTTTAATTTTGACATTTTTACTACGATGAATATTAGCATACACAAAGTTTCCATTTATTTTCATATACAATCGACACGCGTGCACTGTCCCGCTTTGAATGTATGCTTTTCTTCAAAGCACGCAATTGCGATTTTCATATGTTTCCAAGTGTTTATTGCAGCGGGTTACCCTGTTGAGTGCACTTCTTACCAAGCACCGGTGTAATGCAGAGAAGCAACACCCGCGAAGCTCGCTTCCGCGGGTATTACTTCTCTGCAGTGCACCAAAGCTCGGCAAGAAGCGCACTCTACGGGGCTAACCCGCCGCAATCAACATTTCGAAAAACGCAAATAGTGCAGTTCTTCTCAAAGCGAATACCGAATAGTGTATTATTCAAAATTATTATTCAAAATTTTGAATATTCACCCAACCCTACTCATAAGCTGTCAAAACTTTTGAACTTACAGTGACTACCGTAGGAAAGCAGAAGCAGTAAATTGGTTTCGGGATATGGGAAACTTCAAAGCATAAACTTGCGCGCATATCTCCGTGCACTACAGTCACACCCGTTTATAACGAACAGCAGGAAACGCTACGATCAGTTCGATATAGCAAAACCCATTTACAACAAACTTTCCTGATGTGTTCGTTGTAAGGCGAGAGCTTCTCTTTTTTTCTCATCTCTTCGCTTCTGCCTTGTAACGTTACAACGCGCTATAAAGATTTCTTTTTTCATGCATGCAGTTTTGTTTTCTTTTAGCTTTTTTTTTTTTTTTTTTTAATTGCTTTTCTTCGTGGGTAAACACTTTGGGATTAAAAGCTTTTTTCCTGTGCATGCGTGCAGAGTGTATTTTTTAGCTTTCTCCCCTTCTGAATTGCTTCTCTTCGCTCAATTTTGTTCGCAATTTGAGTTTTTGGAATTTTCTTTCTTTCCTACTTCTTTTTGGAAGAAAGGACAGGACGGAAGACGATTGTCTGCGCGTTCTTGGAAGCCTTCTTGGGGGTAAAAAGTTTGATCTAGTCAATATGTTGTTCGTTATAAAAAGTCCTTTTTACATGCATTTTTATTTAAATTTTTCGTGAGTTCGATATTGACAATAATTCGCTGTACGTGGGTTCGTTCTAAACGGGTTTCACTGTGCGTTCATCTCTCGGTACCTTCACTCTGAAACTCTACAAGTGAGCCCGAGCTATGCTTCGACTGCCGCAATTCGGCCGGCTCCGTGGCCGCGACCAGCCAATTTAAGGAAGTTGATTTTCGGTCCCGCCGGACGATGCAGAAACCGACGTGCAGCGGAAACGGTTATTCTCCAATAAAGACGAATTTGATTGTTCGACAACAACGAAAACCATTTAACTGTGGGATTCACGCCGACGTGCTCACGCTTCCGTTGCCCCTCGAATTATGCGCACAAAAACGATCTTAGCGCCGAAAAAAAAGAAACGTGCAAAGATACGATAGCGAGCGCACCTATAAAAGCATCCTTTTCTCGTAGGCTCGACGAAGACGGAAAAGTGCTGACACCTGAAGAAGTCTTGTACAGGGTCAGTAATGTCTGCTGTCATTTTCTTGTCTGGCTCAACAAAACCCCGACCGAATACAGTCTAAGCTCATTACAACAGACCTGGTTATAACAGACATTTGGATATAACATACCGATTTGTGAAGTTCGGTTGGTTTTCGTCTTCATGCCATTGACTCAACTTCATATCTGCATACAACATACTACTTTTACAACAGACCAAAATTTTGGTCAAAATCGAGGTCTGTTATAACGAGCTTAGACTGTACCGATAGGAATGACCGGACGCCACGAGCTGTCCCAGGGATCCAGCGCCGCAGTCGTATTACACGCGACACTGCGTCCCTCCCAAAGGTAGCGTGACGCTCGCGTAGCATTGGATTGGCTGGGATGGCTGGTGCTCTGCAGTCCATCATAGGTATAGCGGTCTGATGTTATTTCGTTGTCTTGATGCGGTTGGCAACTGGGGATGTATGCACGTAGGTATAAGCAGTGCACACTCTCGAATTACTTCGGACGTGTTTGGTTCGACTGCTGTTTCATATTGTCGAGCTTTTATTTATTGTGTGTGTGCTATCACCTAGAATTCCGTGTTTTCAATATATATACCGATGAACACCGAAAATTAACCTCCGAGCCGGTTTTTTCTCAATCGGTGAAAACCGAAAAACACCAAAATTAAGCCTTGAAAAAAAAAAAAAAAAAAAAAAAAAAGCCAGCTTTGAAAAAAAATATTTTTACACTACTTTTTTTTTTTTTTTCCCATTGATTTGGAACACAGTTGTTTACTGAACTGTTTTTGGGGTTGTTCTTTTCTATCGAAACCACATTCCTTGCCCCATTCCCTTTTCTTATCTTTACCAGCATTACTGGAGAAAATATTAGAATTTATGACTTATAAGTTATAATATTTTCTCCGGTAATTATACAGTCGCCTTACAACACAAGCCCGATAAACACCAATTTCGCCCCGGGCACTAAAATTAGACACCGATAAGCACGAAACCAAAGGGAAAAAAACAAACACCAATAACCCCCGAATTTGAAGAAAAATAAATATCAAAAACATGAAACCCTAGTTATGACGTATGTATTAATTCTCTCTCTTGCCGAGGCAACGGTTTGGATTGGACCGATCTCGATCGCTGTGTCTTTGTTCCGCAGTCGGTGCAGTCGGTCAACCTGACACACGACACCGCGCACGCGCAGATGGACGTCAAGCTACGCTCGCTGATCTGCATCGGGCTCAAGTAAGTCTTTTTCTGCGCCTCAAGTTGCAACGGCTCAGAAGGTGTGCCATCTGCATACCTTTGCGGCACTTATCACCCGATCACAAAATGCCGAGTCACCGGTCTGTGGATGCATGTGCGGTGGCCGATTTTTCACAAAAGAGAGCAAGTGCACACGCCAGTGGTGTAGGCAGGAAGGCGGTGTCGGAGCCAAAACCCTTCTCGAAATTATTCCCTACCCATAAAAGGATTGCCAGCTATGCCACTGGCGCATGCTTGGGACCCATTGCACAGCCCACTTAGGCAAAGATGGCAGCACGGAGAAAGTGACTGGCTGTAAAGTCCTGTAAGATTGCCCACCTAAAATTAAGCGAGAAGTGGTGAAAACTATGTGGTGGGCAATCTTTAAAGGGGCACTGACACCCCAAAGGTCGTATTTATTTTTATTGTCTAAAACGATGCAAGTTGCAGTCATAGACACGCAAAAAAAACCGCATCGCGAAAAAAAATTTTCCCGCGCGCGCGCGCCTTTTTATTTTTGGCGTTTGATTTTCCCGCCTCTCGCCTCCTCGCTTCTTTTGATCGGTGACGTCAAAAATCAGGAAATTTAGAAGCTTTGTAGGCGACATCTCTATAACATTTAATTACGGCAATCCTAAAACATGTTTTTTAATGCAATTGCGAACGCACTACGGCCCTTCTTTTTGAAATACCAAAAATCGGGAGTTCGTTGTGGTGCCGTCTCCTGGATTTGTATCCTCCAACGGAAAACAGGCGACACCGCTCAAAACCGGTCCGCCTCAACGCCGCCGCTCGCTCCTTTCCTCCTCGCTTTGGGTCGCCATGGCAACAGCCGGGAGTGGTGAAAGGAAGTCGACTCTCAGGTCTCCGCAATTTTTGACGTCAAGGCACCGGTGCCGATCGCGCGGGAACTTCGAATTCGGCATTTGGAAATTGTTTTTTTACTTCACAAATACTGAATTCCCAAATTTCAAATTTTGAGGGTAATGTCCCGGCATCGTTTTCAATCGTTTCGGATAATAAAAAAAATTATGATTTTGATGTGTCAGTGCCCCTTTAAGACGCGACAGCAAACTTTCACAAAACATTAGTGATAAACATTGGGGCACCCTCCACATACCAGATGAAACGGGAACCGATACCACAGATCGCGGTCATGGCGAATTTGCGTTCCGCTATGCGATAAACACGCGGAAATCACTGCAAACTTCCATGTCACTGGAACAGATACTGCAGATTGCAGGCGCAACAGATTTGCGCTTTATGGTGCAATAGACACGTGGGAACCCACTATGAACCCGCTTGTCACATGTACCAGTACCACAGATTGCGTGGTTAATGTATTTCTTGTCGGACATATTCGATGGGAATTGGGGGGTGAGCAATGTTTCTGAAGTTTTGTCTTATGGATATTCAGCCGAAAAAAAGAATGGGTGATCTCTCGTGGGCGGGCGATCGTATGGGGTTTTACGGTACTGGAATATGGTCTATAAGAGAATTGCGAAACCTCAACTTGGTGGTGTTAAAAAATTGCTTAAAGGTGACCATAGATCCATCTATGTGCTCCCGCATTTTGTGTGTTTTTTTTTTTATTTGAATAAATTAGGATGTCAGAGTAGAGTGTGCCTGTCATGCACATCTCTCTTCCTCACTCTTTGAGCTTTATGCAATAAGCCTCTTTTGAAACCTGGGGGAGTTATGAACATCAGAAAAAAAATGCCATCTCGATACTCATCTCACCGATAGATAGATACACAATCCAAAGAATATGGTGTCCGTAGAAAAAATAAAGAAGTGGACAGGCGGGGCATTACACTGCAAAAGTTGCAACTTTCAATTGTAGGCTTACTTGAAGTGCACACTTACATCTTCTCAGTGACATCACGAAAGAGTAGCAAGATTTGCTGTGATGGCCGGTTGCGAGTACATACATGCTCTTTGTAGGAGTGAGTTGGCAAGCGTTAGAAACAACGGCCTCGGCGAGCCAAATGTGGTGTCCGAACGAGACACGTGACAGTGCACCGCCAGAGTGCGTGCCGGCGAAAAACCGTCACGTCTCTCGCCCAGGCAACCGGTTGGCTCGCCGCAACTTATGTCGTCTGTTGTTTTAGTCCGAGATGGAGCATAGACGGGTCTAGATATATGCGACAAACTTCGTTGTGTTTTGTTTATTTGTTTTTTTTTCTCCAGTGAGCAAGTGCTGCACCTGTGGTTCGAGGTGCTCTGCTCGAGCCTGGCGGTGGTTCAGAAGTGGTACCACCCATGGTCGTTTGTCAACAGCCCCGGCTGGGTGCAGATCAAGTGCGAACTCAGGTGAGTGCGGCTTACAATCCTCGATTGACACGATTAATTTCACCGGCTAAAAGAAAGGAGCGGCGTAAAGCACGGGAGAGTTTTAAAAAATCGCCGAGAAGGGGAAAAAAAAATCCTTCAGCCTTTCCACCCTGGTGAAGAAGGAAGACCAGCGAAGCTGTACTATGGTGGGACGACCTCAAGGACGACACCTAGAAGATGACGTCTAAGACAACCTCAAGGACAACTTCTAGGACGACCTCGAGGACGACGTCTAGGACGACTTCCAGGACAACCTTTCGGACGACCTTAAGGACGACGTCTAGGACGATCTCATGGACGACTTCTAGGATGACTTCTAGGATGGCACCTAGAGAAGTTCAGCCATTCCACTCTGGTAAAAACCAGAGTGGAAAGGCTGGAAAGGTTGCCGCCATCTATGAGCAACGGCGGCAACCAGACAACCGGCTTGCCACCGTCGCTCATAGATGGCGGTAGCTGTCTAGAGTTTTGTGTCGAGATTTATTTGGTGACTGACACGAAACTGGGGAAACTAGCCCTTAACAGCTCCGCTGTAAAATGACACACACATTCATTCCACCAAATGCGATGAAATGCAGTAGCTTTACAGAAGCATCATTAGTGAAAACAGTTCGGAAAGGAAATGGTACGGTGATGAAGTGGTTGTAATATGCCATACACACATTGAGGACGACAACAAAGACAACCTCTAGGACGACCTCAAGGACGATATGTGGGATGACGTCAAGGACGGCGTGAAGATTGCTGTCGCAATATTTCGCAGGGGGCCGACTTCCTGCCGCCTTTACATCCTTGACACAAATTTGACCATGACATAAATTACGATAAGCAAATCCTACCCTACTATGCATCTCCCCCCTCTGTTGCGTAGGAACAGGGACTGCGTATTAATGCTGTCGCACAGTCATTGCATTTTAAAACGTGTCTAAACCAGATGACTTTCTTCTCTTTTTTTTTTTCATTATTGCAAGTTTGATTGATCGGTTTGAAGGACGTCCAAGTGATCCATCTCTTCCCCTTCCAGACTGTTGTCGCAGTTTGCCTTCAACCTGAACCCCAACTGGGAGCTGCCGGTCAAGCGGGAACCCTCCCAGCCGCTTCGCGAGGGAGTCCGGGACATGCTGGTCAAGCACCACCTCTTCTCCTGGGACCTCTGACGTGGCGACCCCGTCCTACCTCCGGCCGTTTTCCCCGTCTCGGCAGCCATCTCACGATACCCGGGCGTTGCCGTTCGATCCGCGTAAGAGTCCGTCTCGACGGGTGCAATTGTTCCCGTCAAAAAGATAAGTTTACCTCTGGCTAGCTCTCTTAGAATGCGACGGAAAGAACGGCGATTTTTTTTTCCCCGTTTCCGTGGGATGCGTTTAACAGACTGTCGACCTTGTGCGTCTTGGTGGCCATCTTGCTACACCCAGTCGTGCGTGGCATTGCCGGGCGGCTAAAGGCTCGACACTGTTTGATTCTCGTAAAAGTCCATCTTGATAGATATATTTATTTCTATTGGAAAGATGCAGTTGAGTTTGCCATCGACCAAGTCTTCCGAGATGCAACGGAAACAGAAATGCAGAGTTTTGTTTGATAGCTTCATCTTCTTTTCTTTTTTTTTGGCTCTGTGGGACAAGTTTGCCAACAAGGTGACCTCGCCTCGGAAGGTGAAGTTACGTTGAAATTATTCGTTGCTGTCTTTGCCAGTGTCTAAGTTGGTACACCAACTCTGCTCTTTATGACTTTACCAAAAACAAATTTATGCGCGATGATCATAGGGGTTCTAACTCGGCCACACACCGCTACCGTTACATGCGAAGAACTTTGGTATAAACTTCCGCTGCTAGCGAAAGCGAAAAATAGGCTAAAATTGAGTTGGGACCCATTTACCCAAACTTGGGAGATATCAACGTTTCTTTCTGGACCCGTTGAGCGATTCCTTACATGGTTTTTACAATTTGCAACGCTGTCACTAATACAAAACGAGGCGGGTATGTGCCCTCGCGAGATACGCAGTAAGGAAACGTTTCGCTCTACCAATCATAATGTCAGATTTGTTTTCGAAATTAATGAAAACACAGTTACAGATTTTAGCCACACATATGGACACTGAAAATTCTTTGGACTGTGTTCTAGTTGTAACAGATGCCTTTTGGAGAGCAAAAAAAGACCGCTCTATGCTTCAGACTGACTGAAATTCAAAACTCTAACCAAAGTTTAATAAAAACAAAATTCCCCGACGTCTCGGGACCACGCTGGTCACGAGGCGACTGTGGGTCGGGCGGAGGAGTGAGCCGTTTATGTAGGCCGGTTGTTTCGCAAGTGCATGCTGTACCTGGGAATAACGTTCTGTGGTGTTTTGAGAGAAGCGAAGAGTGCACGCCGACAGCTTTGATCGGCGCTCAAGGTCGCACCTGTGCCCCTAACTTCGACTTGATTACCACACAAATTTGCCCCCGAGCAAAGCTGCGCAGGGTGCTGGCAGGTCGGTTTTCCCACAGTGCAACCCTATCACGAGGCAAAGCCAGCCACCCCAAAGTACTGTGGAAAACTGAAAACTGGTCATCACATTGCGAGAAAGGCGCAAATATGCCGAGTCGTGCTCGGCTCCAGTCATGAAGCATCCCCAGATCTGTAGATGTTGTGATGGAGGGAATGTGGGAAACTGGTGCTGTCTTTTTTGCGATCTGCCGACATTCCTACAGGACATTCCTTTTGTGCCGTTTTGCAGGCCGAATTTACGGAAGTGTGTCTGTGCCAGTTTGGCCGCTAGTCTAGGCTAGAGTCGCGAAGTAAGCTAAGCTCAAGAGTGACGTCGCTTTGGTCATTCTGGTCATCGGCTAACGTGGGACACGAGTTTTCTTTCTTTCCTCGTATTGCATAGACCCAATGCAATGTCGACTCTTCGGAGCAACTGCATAAATCGGTTTCTTCACAGATTGCGACGCAATTTAGCACAGAGCTGTAATTAGATGGTTATCTTTTTTGTGAAAATATGGAAGGATGAGTTTACCAGTGTAAAAATTTACTAAAAACTCATCTTTTATCATATACCATAATATCCTTGAGAGATGGCCCATTCCCGAAAGGTGGCCCACCCCTACATTTTGCTTGATTTTATATATTTTTTTTAACACCGAAAGATAGCCCACTTCTAGTAATAGTACGTAGTGCTGGGATCCATGATGGCCTCGGCGCGTAAATGCGGCTGGTTAGCTACGGCGGAATATACCCGATCATTGATGATTGGGAAGCAGTCATCTTTGCTTCGTTGCCCCTTGCCACAATAACAAGCTTGGAAGGGAAGCATGACCTAAAAATATAATGGTTTCAACTTTTCTTGATTGTGCACCGAAAGTTAGCTCACCACATATTTTCACCCGATTTTCTCTCGATTTTAGGTGGGCTATTTCTCGGGATTTTACGGTAGGCTAAGTGCATAAAACCAACGAACAAAACAATGAACCGCTGGCATTTATTTTGGCAAAATGAAGGAAATAAAATTTAAGCAAAGTTTTGTTCCGTCTCCTTCCACCTGTTTTTGTGTCGCAATACTAAACGCCACATTGGCCCAAAATGCCATTTGACGACCTTGCAATAAAAAGGCTTAGCTGCATGCAATTCCATATGAAAAAAAAAAAATGTTTTTCTGTTCTTTATTTAAGCAAGTTTATGTTTTTATGCTTTCAGATGGTAGATGAATCACCTACAGGCATACTTAGAGAAACCGATTTATGTCCTCCCTTCAGAAAGACACTGCACCATTGGATCCACACTGTGGTCGAGGCAACAAAGAGACCAAAGCAACAATGCCGGATTCCCCCGGATTTCGGAACTGTGCCCCTCGCCAACATATATGAATCTCTAAGCATCAGAATGGCGGTATCCACGAGTTGACCAGTCAATGCAAATAAACTGACGACCGCTGCGGCAATGTTAGACATTAGGGAAAAGTTGGCGATACCCTTGAGCCGAGCTCGCGACTCTAGATTCGACATTTCAAGATCATCCGGCAGACGTGCTTTCATCTATCATTTGGTTGACACCTTAGTCAACTCGTTCGCTAGTCAAATCCCGTATGAATGTTCCTGGTTTGTGTTGACGTATGAAGTGCAATGTTCATGTTGGGTTTCAATTTTTTTTTTTACGGTGCATGTTCAAGAAGGAGTTGAGGAAGATCACTGAGAGAATGACACTGTATTGCCCATTTGTTTTTCTCTCTTTGACGGACATTTTCGTGGCGTGGGTTGTCTTTGCAAAGTTTTCACTATGGTTCACTTCAAAATGGCCACTGTTTGAGCACTGTTTTTATTATTTTTAAAGCAATCCTTTTTTTTTTTTTTGTTTAATGCCTTCACATAGTTGTTTCATTCATTTCATTCTGCCATATCATTCCAGGGATATGCATTCCTCTGGAGTGAATTGTGTTCAGACTTCCATTGTGATACCAATGCCAAGAAAAAACTGCCGTTTGGCAGCTGCCATTTTGTTCCATTGCACAGTTCACCCGGCGTCACCTGACTGGGAAACCACCAGTCATTGCCAGAAAACGATAAGCTACGAGCTTGTTTATTTAAATAGGTAATTAAGTATTTAAGGGATAAACCGTAGCTTTAAAAAGACAGTCGGGCGACTAGCAGGTGGCAACCAAACGCAGAACGCTTGGTTCCTTGCGAGCAGACGACGTAAAGCGGATGTTGGCACTACAGATTCATCTTTGCCTCTAGTGCCGGTTTGCAAATTATCCTCTTCATACACACGCAAACATGAAATAAAAAAGAAAATATGGGAGAAATAAAATCTTTATGCAGTTGTTACAAGTTGTGAGAACTGAGAGAGCTACAGTAGTTTGTTACAACACAAGATTTGCAGTAGGAGCTCTGCCTCTGGCACAAGCTTTCTGCCTTTGATGACACTTCATTATCTGGCGAGCGAGGAGTACACAAAGCTTCACCTGCGGATCATATGTTGCAACAGGCTCAAATACAATAACATTAAAGGACCTTCAGATTTGTTAAATCCGCGGCCAATTACGATTGGTTGCCAAATAATTGTCATATTCCAGGCATTGCAGACTGTCACGCAAGTCATTGAAACTAGTTCAAGCGTGGCAGGACTGTGCAGCTCGTATTCATTGTGTGTACTCATATAAGGTAGAAGACGTGCAAGATAGCGCATTACGAAGAGGGTATTTTTTGCATCGCATGCGCGCCAACATCGAGAGAGTATATTTTTGGAGATGTTGCGCAAACTCCGTTGACCTAACCGATCCCCGCGTGCACTTTGGGTCCTCTTGTCAAATACCTGTCTTCCTTCGTTGCAAGTGCATTTGAGTTCACCCCAATAAAGAGTTTATTTCACCCCAAAGGAACAAAAAATGTGAGTTCTCATTTGCTTCGCACCTTTCCGTCTGATGGGTTGTTTGCAAAGTACAAATGGATAATCGTCAAAAAAGGCGAAATACGCTCAAAGATGGGTGCTGACAATGTTGGTTGTGCCCCCCAAATATGGCAACAGTGGGAAGCGTGGCCATGGGAAATGGTGTACACATGTACAGAAACTTACTGGAAAAAAATGCAAACCTTGTGCCTCGTTTTTTTTTTTTTATATATAACAAGATGCACAACTAATTGGCACCTTTCTAATAAATTGTGGTGCAATTCGTTAAAAAAAATGATTTAAAGGGTTTCTTCAAAAAGGCAATGTTCCATTGCGTTCACCCGGTACTATGGTGTGCAAGTACTTTCACTTTGGGAAATGGGGAAAATAATGGACGTTTCTCTCACTTACCCGATTGACCACCAGAGGTTAAATAATATTTTCAAGATGCAGGGTAAAAACACCTAGCTTGTACGAAGCTCGATTCCAACAAAGTTCACGAGAAAATGGTTTCAATCTACACTGTCCAGGTGGCACATGTCGAGCCCCAATGTCCTGCATCTCTTCATGCGTGTGCGGTGGCTACAACAGCCGTGGTAATGGAATAATGGTGGGCACGTGGCACCTTTTATTGAACGAGGCTACAGTTCACCCTGCGCTTGCTATCCGAGCACTTCCAATTTGTTTAAGAATGTTCGTCGTAACAAACGCTAGTTTCACTTTGCGCCTAGTAGCACCCAGTAATTCTCTGTGCAAAGTGAGCTCTTTCGCAAACTTGACTGCGAAAGCATAGCAGTTTTGTGTAAAGTCAATTCTTGTGGGCATCCCCTGTATTTTCTCCCTGACCACGTCAGCGAGTAGCATCTTAACTAGATCTCGCAGATGTCTGCAGTAAAGACGGAAGGATAGGCACGTAACCCTAGCTCAGCAGTATGCTTGTTTGTACGAAGACGCGTGCGTAAGAGGCACTTTCTAAACCCTCATGCCCATGCCTTTGTCTTCACTGCAGGTGCTTGCGAGTATAGAAACTTTAGTTCCAAAGCTCGTAGCAGAGTCGACGTAGGCAGAAATTTTTTTCGAAGGGGGCGGTGCTGGGATGTCTATTATTTGGGGGTTGGGGGAGTATCTGCAAGGCTTTACACTTCAGTGCTGACCTGCTATTCGTCATTGCCGAGGGTAATGTTCGCCATGTGCTTTAATGCGCTTGGCGTGCGTGGGGAATCGTGCGGAGGAGTTTTTATTTGCCGTTCTTGCCATGCAATTTTTTCTTTTAATTTTTTTAGAGCGCAGCTCTTAGGCGCCTGTTTCCGGCTTGAGCGGCGTCACTGTCGCCGTAATCGCGTGGTGCATTATGGGTAAATTTCTCCGCTGAATCTAGCGGACTAAATTTAGCGAAAAAATTTCCCCGCTAGATCTAGCGGAAAAATTTCCCCGCTAAATCTAGCGGAAATATTTCCCCGCTGAATCTAGCGGAAAACTTTCCCCGCTGAATCTAGCGGAAAAATTTCCCCGCTAAATCTAGCGGAAAAATTTCCCCACTAAATTTAGCGAAAAAATTTCCCCGCTAGCGGAAAAATTTCTCCGCTGAATCTAGCGGAAACTTTCCCCGCTGAATCTAGCGGAAATATTTCCCCGCTAAATCTAGCGGAAAAATTTCCCCGCTGAATCTAGCGGAAACTTTTCCCGCTGAATCTAGCGGAAAAATTTCCCCGCGAAATCTAGCGGAAAAATTTCCCCACTAAATTTAGCGAAAAAATTTCCCCGCTAGATCTAGCGGAAAAATTTCCCCGCTAAATTTAGCGGAAATATTTCCCCGCTAAATCTAGCGGAAATATTTCCCCGCTAAATTTAGCGAAAAAATTTCCCCGCTAGATCTAGCGGAAAAATTTCCCCGCTAAATTTTGCAGAAAAATTTCCCCGCTGAATCTAGCGGAAACTTTCCCCGCTGAATCTAGCGGAAAAATTTCCCCGCTAAATTTAGCGGAAAAATTTCCCTGCTAAATCTAGCGGGAAAATTTCCCCGCTAAATCTAGCGGAAAAATTTCCCCGCGAAATCTAGCGGAAAAATTTCCCCACTAAATTTAGCGAAAAAATTTCCCCGCTAGATCTAGCGGAAAAATTTCCCCGCTAAATTTAGCGGAAATATTTCCCCGCTAAATCTAGCGGAAATATTTCCCCGCTAAATTTAGCGAAAAAATTTCCCCGCTAGATCTAGCGGAAAAATTTCCCCGCTAAATTTTGCGGAAAAATTTCCCCGCTGAATCTAGTGGAAACTTTCCCCGCTGAATCTAGCGGAAAAATTTCCCCGCTAAATTTAGCGGAAAAATTTCCCCGCTAAATCTAGCGGGAAAATTTCCCTGCTAAATCTAGCGGAAAAATTTCCCCGCTAAATCTAGCGGAAAAATTTCCCCACTAAATTTAACGAAAAAATTTCCCCGTTAGATCTAGCGGAAAAATTTCCCCGCTAAATCTAGCGGAAAAATTTCCCCGCTGAATTTAGCGGAAACTTTCCCCGCTGAATCTGGCGGAAAAATTTCCCCGCTAAATTTAGCGGAAAAATTTCCCCGCTAAATCTAGCGGGAAAATTTCCCCGCTAAATCTAGCGGAAAAATTTCCCCGCTAAATCTAGCGGAAAAATTTCCCCGCTAAATCTAGCGGAAAAATTTCCCCACTAAATTTAGCGAAAAAATTTCCCCGCTAGATCTAGCGGAAAAATTTCCCCGCTACATTTCCTTGCTGAATCTAGCGGAAACTTTCCCCGCTGAATCTAGCGGAAAAATTTCCCCGCTAAATTTAGCGGAAAAATTTCCCCGCTAAATCTAGCGGAAAAATTTCCCCACTAAATTTAGCGAAAAAATTTCCCCGCTAAATCTAGCGGAAAAATTTCCCCGCTAAATTTAGCGAAAAAATTTCCCCGCTAGATCTAGCGGAAAAATTTCCCCGCTAAATTTCCTTGCTGAATCTAGCGGAAACTTTCCCCGCTGAATCTAGCGGAAAGATTTCCCCACTAAATTTAGCGGAAAAATTTCCCCGCTAAATCTAGCGGAAAAATTTCCCCACTAAATTTAGCGAAAAAATTTCCCCGCTAAATCTAGCGTAAAAATTTCCCCGCTAAATTTATCGGAAAAATTTCCCCGCTAGATCTAGCGGAAAAATTTCCCCGCTAAATTTATCGGAAAAATTTCTCCGCTAGATCTAGCGGAAAAATTTCCGCGCTAAATCTAGCGGAAAAAATTTCCAGCTAAGTCTAGCGGGGGAATTTTGGTCACGTGACCGGGTGGGGGAGGGGGTCACGTGACTTGGGGAGTCACGTGACCCCTCCCCCTAGGTCACGTGACCCCCCTCCTGACCACGTGACCTCGGAGGAGGGTCAGTGACCCTTTCCCCTATGTCACGTGACCCCCCCCCCCCCCCCCCCCCCCGAGAACACGTGGCCCTCAGTAGCCTTCCCTCCTCCTCCTCAAGAGCTGCGCTCCAATTCGGCGTTACAGGGAGCTGTAAAAGGCTTTCACTTTTTTTTTTGAGAAGGGAGCAGTTGGTGTCAGACAAGGGAGTCTTTGGTGGGGAAGCGAAAGTCTGGCTTGGCCCCGCCGGAGGAGAGGAATGTATGTCCATGTGTCCTATTTCAAGATGGAAGTTGGACCCCGCCGCGGAGTGTTTTCCGACGGGAGATGCCCCAAGCGTCGGTCGCGGGCGTCTGTTGTCCGCATTATCTTACCACCGGGCTTTCTAAAGTATGCCTCGGTTTTGAACGCGTGCAATATTGTGAAATTTAGACATTGTCCCTCCCCTTGATTGCAGATTTGGGAGTTATTGACGTAAAAGGCGAGCAACTAGAATGCACGGCCATCTGTGGGAAGCTGGTCGCTTGGGACAATGCAGTGTAGAATCTAATAGAGTGCTCCATCTGTAGACGTTGACCGGCGGCTTCACCAAAGCCTTGACACTCGTTGTTTTGGCAGTTTTTTATCATTCATTGTCTCCGGTAAATAAGGAAGTTCTTCGCCAGTTCGCCCGTTTTTACCCTTTCTTCGACCAAAGCCGCTCTGCGCGACAATGGCCAGTATATTTATTTTTTTTTGTTCTTTCGCCGACAACGTACAACATTTAGTACGAAATAAATATCTATTTAAGCAAGCTGCACTTGTTACCACTTGTCTTTGAACCCACCAGAGTGCTGCTAGCCGTACACAAACACCTGCTCCGAGTTGCGGCTTTGACCGTGGGTGGCCAGAAGGCAATTTCCCTTCCCGTGATGCATCGCTTCAAGCCGAGTGAATAGCTCCCAATAATATGCTCCAATGTCAAAGAGAAACCCTCAATCGTTATCATAAACAAACTCATTTAGCGATGCAATCACTTTTTCGTCTTCACGCGATGTGTCGACAGAAGTTGGCATCTGCTCCAACAGCGTCGGTGGCTGCTCCATACCAATATTTGCCCGCTACAGAAGGTGAAATATCACTTCCATCACTTATACTGAAACAGTATAGCAGCATTGTGACCAACATGCAAAGTCATCTTGCATGTGCAGCAGATAAAGGATGAAGCTATCAAGCAGGCACCTCAAAACGTGCGCCTGGAGAGGCATGAATGCAACGTGCAGAAAAATTCACCAGCCGCGACTATTAACGGCGTCATTTTATTAGTCACATGACAGACACGAGACAACCCCAACCCACAACATCCTTGCCCCCTTCATTAGGAAGCATGAGCTCAGTCTGCCCTGCATTCCACAAGCACCGCGAGCGCAGCGGGAGAACGTACAGTCAGTTTTGCATTCTATACATGTTCACGCACACAAAGTAAAGGAAACAGTTTACCGACGACAATAAAGTAGCCCTTGGCCGTTATTTACAACGAAAAGTAAAATACGCAAACAAGAAGCGGGCGACTCGCCCGGCACCGCCCTGCCCCAGTGTTGAAGCCAAAGTCCGTAGCAGCGAGACAAAGATATGGCGGTGCCGCTCCCATGACAGAAGCAGCAAACGATAGAGAATCGGCTACCAAGTGCTACGGCAAACTCAACAGCAATTCGGTGCCACCAAGGTTTCGGCGACCTTGCGCAGAACGATTTGTCGAGGAGTGGAGAGCTTCGTTTAGATAGTGTGGTCTTCGAAACCTTTGTACTGCAAGGCTCTCCAATTGCACTAATTTGTTTAACATTAGGAAATGAGCTCGTTGTGCCAGCTGTCAAGTTCATTTTTACATGTCAAATCGTTGGTTCAACGTTGTTATGCAAAGCTTCGAAGACGCATACGACACTGGCCGTTTCGTCGACGGCAGTGCAGCCACAGTCGAAAGGTCGCCCAAAAAATGATGCGATTCAAACACGCTTAAAAAAAAACTTTACACATTCAAGACGTGCAAGCCAGTGTCTACAAGTATGCCAATCCGACATTGAAAAGTGCTAGAACGTTCAACAGAAGTGGAAAAAAAAAACTGAAGCTGCCATCTCCCGACCATGCGTAGCTAAAGCACAAGCATCTGCCGCCAGCTTGAGAAAGCTGGCAAGCGTTGATTTCCAAAACTGCACAACTTTATACCTTAACTGGTCAGTAAAATGGCTGCCCCACACTTCGGTAGGGGTCCCCGTGCCGCCTGCTACAATGTACACAAAAAGACCAACATGGGGGGGGGGGGGGGGGACACACTTGCACGTTGATGTAACAAGGCAGGTGTCACTAAGAGGAGTCTGTCAGTATTGTGAAGGCATAACGTAACCTTATCTCACAACCACCGAGAAGAGCCGAGGAGTTAAACGAGGGTGGCAACATGTTCTATAGTTTACACCGTCCACTACCGTACTTCCCCAAACCCTCCCGTGTGAAAGTATAAGCTAATTTCGGGGCTATTTCCGACGTGGTTGCCAACACTGAGGCGGTCGACGTGTCGTCCAAACACATCGTTCCTGTACGGCGTCTCTCCCAACCACAAAATATGCGCACCCACAGCGGCTGCCAGGAAAACTGCTGCGTGCTTTTGTGGCAGCCCCCAGAACGATCGTCGACGCGACAGCCTCTCGCGCTCAGAACCCATCATGGTGCCGAGCAGCGTTGCATCTCAAAAACCAAAAACCCGCCTAAGAAATCCCGAAATACCTCTAAAAACTGCTAAATTTAAGTCGCACGCCAGAAATGACCGTTTTTAACGCAATGTTCCAACGTTTGTCCGCCCCTTCCCACCCCTATATCGCAATGGCATTGCAAGCGTTATTCTCACCCACAATTTTGATGAGGGTAAGCAAAAATGATAACCCCATAACTCTATCTTACCACAGAAATTGATATTTACCATTGACAAAAGCTGAGATGGAGAATATTTTACACCGCCAGAAAACACGCTTATGCGACTCTAGATTGACGGAAATCCCGCCAACTGCAAGACAGCAATTTCTCCCACTGGGCAACTCCAAAAACTGCTAAATTCAGCGGTAAAAACGCGGGATTGGCAACACTGGTGCTCGAGGCACGTCCGCAGGGAACCCCGAAATGGCGGCACACTCTCGTCGACCGTACCCTCCCTCACTGTGCTACGGGAAGGTGTTGCAAGCACACTCCACGAGTCGTCCACCAATCGCTGAAAGATGTCACCGCGACAAGGTCACAATTGTAGACGTTAGAGATAAGTCGGGCCCATGCCCGCACAAGAAACTAAGAGTCGTGTTCTACAGACCGACTAAAAAGAAACTCGTCGTTGAATGTGTTCCCACGCCGTGGCCTGCCAAACAAAGGAATCCCCAGCCCGTGTTTCGTTTCCGCTTCCGCCCAGTCGAAGAAGCTCCAGAAACTAGTCCGACCTCCTTAGGTACAAAAGCACCACGCAAAGGCGCCAGTTCAGCGAGCATGTTTTTAGCAACTTTCTTGTATTTTCCCAGGCTTCTTGCATTTTTTTTTTTTTTTCCCACTAGAGTCAAAATATTTTGCATTGAGACAGCCCGATAAAAGTGGTTAAAGGGGCACCGACACCCCAAAAGTCATATTTTTTTTTTTTTTTTTTTGTCTAAAACGGTGTACCGGGTCCCGGTGGCAACAGCACGGAGTCATGAAAGAAAGTTGGCTCCGCGCCGGTGCGTCAACGCACCGGCGCGGATCGCGCAAAAACTTTGAATTCGGCATTTGGAAATTGTTTTTTTTTTTTTTACTTCACAAATACTGATTTCCCAAGTTTCGAATTTTGAGGGTAATGTCCCGGCATTGTTTTCAATTGTTTCAGATAATAAAAAAAAATTATTTTGATGTGTCAGTGCCCCTTTAAGCCGTCGGAATCCTATCTAATCCTCTCAAAATGGTAGCACCCGGAAAACATACCAGCACACTTGTGTGCGGCGCCCCCAAGGTTTTAGAAGGGCGCCAGCGAAGGGGACACAGATAAATTGGCTCTAAAACAGATGTGGCAACAAACGCAGTCCTGTCTTGCTACGAATATGTTTCTTGGCCGACATTTCCCAAAAAGAACGCGGGATAGACCTATTCTTGGCCAAGTCGTTGTCACCGAAGCCGTCGTCAATTATGTGATTCTTTAAGAGCTCGTGGTCCGCGAAAGGGTTCAACTCTAGAAACCAATCGCCGCTTGCGACGCAGTTTCCAACTCGAAACAAAAATATCCATTCGCAAATCGAAATTCCGCGGTTGCGAGCAACCGTCGTCAAACATAGAGGAACACCTGCAAAACCAACTTTAACAATAGCAAGAAAGAGGAAAGGCCGGTTGACGAAACGGAGTACGACGAAATGGGCCGAGGCCCCGCTGGTCGAAGATGGGACGAAACTGGGTCAGGGTCCGAAGTTGCGCATCCCGACGCGAGAGCGCGGAGTAGCCCCGCCTGCCTCGCATTCGGACGGCGTGCAGTTGGAAGATCACTCCACGCTGGCCACCCTCATCCTGCGGCCGATGCACACCCTGCAACAGACAAAGTCGGGTTGAGTCGACCACGACCCGCGTTTCCAGAGCTCTAAAAACCTCGTTCTAAATCATTCGGTTACAGCTACAATTATCTCGACTGAAATTTAATTAAGCCAAGCAAAGATCACGTTTTTACTAACGTAACTACAGTGTGATTCAAGGAGAGGTCAGGCTCTTTAAATCGACCGCAAAATTCGGTTTCTTAACCGATCGCGCTACTACTTTGTGCAGCGTTGCCCACAGATGGTCCATTTTTTTTGTAAAATTTGCAAAAAGCAAACTTACCTGAGGAAAATGTAAAGAAAGAAAAAGGCTTAGCTCCTATGTAAACTCAGCGAAGCCACCATTCTTCAAACAACACGGCGTCGTTTCGCACAAGAGACAAGAGATGGCGCAAGCGGTCGCAACGCCAACTGCCACCAATGAACGAGCGCACGACACCGAGAGCCGGCGTCTTTAGCAGACAAGGAACTGCAGTTCCTTGTTGTTATCGCGCCTGTTTTTGTTTCTGCGACTGTCGCCGCCTGTGGAACGCGCGCCGCTTTTGAGTCGAAAAGATTGTCTGCTAAAGACGCCGGCGCTCGGCGCCGTTTGCTCGTTCGTTGCGCCATCTCTTGTCTCCCGTGCGAAACGGCGCCGTGTTGTTTGAAGACCGGTGGTGTCACTGCGTTTCCATAGGAGCTAAGCCTTTTTTCTTTCTTTACTTTTTCCTCAGGTAAGTTCGCTCTTTGCAAATTTTACAAAAAAAAAATGCACCATTTGTGGGCAACGCTGCACAAAGTAGTAGCACGATAAATTGAGAAACCGAATTTTGCGGTCAATTTAAAGAGCCTGGCCTCTCCTTGAATCACCGTGTATATACTCGATTTCCGCCTCAAATAAAAGAAGTTTTGCGTCTTGTTCGTACATCATGCGAAATAGTTTTTTTACAACATTTGGTCGTCAGAAAAAGATGCAATGCTTTTCGTGGAAGATACAATGAAGTAAGGTAAAGCCCAGCCGAGCTATTCTTAAAACGTGTTCTTTCGTTCGGGGTTAACCCGAACAGAAAGAAAACGCCTTTGTAGTCGGATTGGTCGACGTTCGAGTCCATCTTACAACGAAAGGAATCCGGACATCACACCGATTCTCCGCACTACGGTGCCCTGCAACGTTTCTCCGACCATCCTGTCCTGTCGTGCAACGAAGGTGGTCCCAAGTAGCAATACAGTCGAACCCGGATATATTGAATTCAAAGGGGTTTGTAAAATAGTTCGACATAATTTGATATACAAAAATATGTTAAATTAAGCTCGAGTTGAAATTTCCTGGCGTCTCTGCTAACACTGAAGGTCGTGACAAACGGGAGCTTACCAAATAGACCATCCAAGAGCGGCTAAATACAGTAGAGCGTAGTTGGTGGAGACCGCAAATATTTCCGCGCTTACATGTGCGCCTGGCCGGGACCTCCACACAGCATAAATAACAAAACACAAATATAATTTAAAAAGAAAAAAAAAATGGAAAAGCAGGTTGCATAAAAAAAATCTCTTGATCCATAAAAAAAAGTTAAGCAAGCAACAAAAAAAAAGCTCACTAAATTCAGGCAGCAAAAAAAACAAAAACAGGGAAAGCAATAACCACAAAAGAAAAAGGTATACAAAGATAAGGCCTTCAAAGTGCGATTGCACAACCGTTGTTGTCAACACACTCATTGCCCAAAATACTTTTTTTTTTTTTTTGCTAATTTTATTTTGGGGTTAGGGAGTCGCACATCAGCAGCAGTGTTTGAGGAAAGGGCCCAGACTACCGTTCTGACAGCAGACACTCCCTGCTTCCTACGTGCATGCGCCTTTCTTGCTTTTGCTATCCTCCACTTTTTTTACAGTTCATTGTCTCTTTTTTCCACAACTGCTCTTTGGCTACCTATCTTCCTGTGTTTATGCTGGCTTGGCGGTCTGCCAGCCACGCAACGCACGCCACCGGTGCAACCGGATCGCGGGAAAAGCAACAGGTGGCCAGGCTTCGTTCGCTAAATTGAGTGTCCCCACCATGGAAATTGGACACATAAAGACAACGCTCCTATACTATTACACGGGATTTCCAAGGGGAAGTTTGGACCGTTTAATATAAACAATAATTCGAAATACCCGAGCGTGATATAACCGGGCTCGACTGTAAATGACGTCGGAAAAGCAAGGGTGCCACGCCGTCTGACGTCGCAATCCCAGTGGCTCACCCTGGAAGTTCCGCCAAAAAGCATGAGCAAACGCAAGTGTCGTCGCCGTCTTCGCAAGATGCCAATTCCTGGCTTCCAAAGCTTCAGCTTCTTCGACGTCATCAAATGGAAATGAAGGGACCACTTTAATCGCACCGGTAGGAAATGCATCCACATCAGCACGGTGCCGGAGAATTTTTTAGACTCACCCAATGCCCGCCCCGAGCAGGACGGAGAGCAGGTTGCTGAGCAGCAGCAGGGGGAAGATGTCGGCCAGGCGGATGATGCGGGATCCGCGGAGACTCAGCACGGGGCGCTTGCGGTTGGCCACCACCCCGGGATGCCGGAACTTCCAATCCCTGGAAGAGGGCGGGAACAAGGACCACGCTGGAGCACGCTAAAGGGACCCGCAGGTGAATTTTTGGTTCGCATTCGGGCACCGAAAGCTCGGTAAACTGTCGCACGACGTCGTTTCCCCGCTCTATCTAGCGGGCAAATTTGACGCCAGGTGGAATCGCTTACCCGCTAAATTTAGCCGATAAATTGGATAATACTCCACGACGCTCGTTCGCGACAACTTTCTCGTAGAAAGGGACGCGTAAAACACGTCTTGCGTTAAAACTTGTCACCGCATTTGTCGCTCTTTCCTTCCAGTTGTCTCTTCCTTACGTAACTTATTTGCGCTGTTTAAGTCAAGATGTCTATCCAACTCGCCCAGCAACTCATTTTGGTAAAATCCAGGCCGCTGATGCCTGGTCCCCAAAACTGGGAGCGCTCCCCCCAGTTTCTAAAAACTCTTCACCTCAATCGAGGGTTCCTAGGCAAGGGGAGGGGCTTCCGCTCCCTGAAACTTGGGGAAAATTCCCCGACAAAGTATTCCGGGAAGGGGGAGGTGCTCACTTGGGAGGCTGCTGGTCGGGGCGGCTGCTCCAGTCCCAGATCCAGTCCGTCGGAATCTGCTTCTCCTCCTGCTGACCAAACAACCGCCCACGAGGAAGCTGTCAACGGGCGCAACCTCGTTTTCCACGGACTAAAGGCCCCTCCACACGCTTGCATCTGCTTAGGATCGAGCTCTCGCAATCTCTTACGATGAGAAGACACGCTGGCACGCCGTCGTCGTCTACCAGACGACCCCAGAACTGTGCTTCGCTAGGGTAAAACTTTTGCAGCATTTGCAAGTTTTTTTTTTTTTGTTTTTTTTTTGTTATTTATGACGAATGGTTGTTTATAACATTGTCAAAATTTTTTCGAGCCAAGAAAGAAATAATGATGCACAAAAAAAGAATAGGAAATACTGTAAATGACCAAGTTTTCGTGGGGACCCAATTTTCGTGAATCGTCTACAATTCACGAAAAATACGTCCCGCGAACAATTCTGACAATATGTGAATGCTACGGAAGCTGCACTCGATTCACTAAAATTTGAGCCCGCAAAAATTAAGTCATTTATAGTATACGAAAATGCCTCTCTACAACTACCCGATAGGTGGTGTCGGCACGTTTTCTCGTCGTAAGAGGCATTAAGGTAAGGTATGTAATACCGTCATACAGAGGGCCTTTAGGGGTATATTGAATGAATAAATAAGGCACACAAGTCCTAAGCAGACGCAAGTGAGGGGAGCCAGCCTCAACACGCCAGTCGCATACCTTATTCAGGACAAAGGAGACCGTCTCATTTGATGGACTGTGCGGGCTTTTGGGGCTGCAACGTGAGAAAAAGGGGCACCACAGTCCGTTAGCGTGAACCTTTCTAAATGTCCTTCACTGCCGTACAAAGGAAATTCCAAAGCGGGCTGCGCATGCCAGTCACTTCAACGTGCAGGGCCTTACGACCGCAGACAATGAAAAGAAATCAGCATATAGACACTTTCAGCCAGCTGTGCATGGGCGCCGCCATAACCGACCTTCAGCTTTTGTTTCCTCTTATTCCGTTCGCTTCCCTTTATCATTCCGAAATCAAGACAGCTTATTGCCATTTTAAGTGTTACTGTGTCCTTGTCCCCAGCATAGGCCTTTGTGGAGGGTCGTCAACACCCGCTTCAGTGGCTCGGCATCTCGGTAAGACAAGAGAAGGTCGGTTATGGCGGCTCAATCTGGCGCGCGCTCTGAAAGCGTCTATTGGAAGCGACAGCTTGTTTTAAAAAGGCACTTGAGTGGATTCTGAGATTGTCCATTTACAGTGATGACTCAATCTACGAGCCCCAAGCATCCTAAAAAAACGAAATTACACTCGTGCGCGGCTGATTTCCTCATTAAAACTCTAATCAAAGATCGTCAAAAAAAAATAATTGGGGTGTGCGTACGGTATGTTTATACCAGCCTAGAACTTAATCTGCCTCAACAGCTGTACAGATGAGCAATTTAGCCAGTGCAGTACAACCGCTAGCCTGGGGTCTTTAACGTACACAATGCAATAGTGATACACTGCAGTCTGGTACAATGCTCATCCAGATCGAAACGAGCAGGGGTGGGGATTGAACCTGCAGGATCCCTGGGTTCTGCAGCGCGAGCTTTCGCTCCACGTGCTCCGAGCTGGTGTGGGCCAGCCCACTCGGCCACCCACCCCTCCAAAGATCGCGACAAGCCCCTCGTTCTGCGCCTTGGAGCAGACACCAGGTGGCGCCGTCGGACAGCGTTTTCAAACAATAAGTGCTGTATTACGTCTCTTACACCCAAAGCCAAAGATTTGACGTTTGCATCAAAACATAATGCTCAATGCGCCTAAAAAGAGCAGTAATAGTAACGTTCAGAATCTCCACGCAATTAACTATCTTCATTGGTCAAATTTTATGGATGTAGTGGGGACTTGAGGATGTCCCGCCTTGCCAGCTGCCCGAGGAAAAATATAGTGCCCGTGTATTTCTATTGCTGCGAGTTCATTAGGACATCTTGCCATCAAAAACAAGCTTCCACAAAAAGCACTCCAGTGCCCCTTTAAGCAGCTCAAAACTCCCCAAGCAGTGGCGGAGAAAATTTGCAGGCTACAACCGTGTTTCCTAAATGCTCAGATGTCTACCGCTATGTGAATGTCGATCCATTTCGCTCGCACCTGCACTAACTGCACATCTGCTAGCAAAAAGGAGCGCAAGACCCTTCACATTTCCTCTTGACAACCACCATTCTAAAGGCTCGTTCGTGCAGTTGCGTCAACTGCGTTGGGCTGCGTTGCGTCGCGCAGCACAGCGCCTGTTCATTGGCTCGTCGAAAGGGTCACCGTAGCAACAGCCGACTCGAGCACTCTTAGCGCAATGAAACGCAACTGTGTGAACAAGCCTTAAGGTACCAAGCACCAAACCGTCTGCTACCACACGGAGGCTTGTTACACAAACATTAGCATGCTACATTACGCACCCACTTCCACCGGAGACTTGCCAAAGAAAACACTAATTACCCTGGCGCAGCAGATAAATTTAGCCGACTTACGTCCCGCCAATTTTAGTAAGTATGCCGATTAATTGTTATTAACTAATACTGAATTAATTATAAGTAAGAAAATGTACGCTACCATCTACAACACACACAGCGTTTCTCAATTTAATCTGTACGATTAAGGTTTTTCTAGCTTCTCTCGTTTTAATGCGAAAGCATTAACTGTCTCATGGAGTGAAGTTGGCGAAAAATGGCACCTAAATTCTCATTGGCTGAGCGAAGCGGCACCTAAATTCCCATTGGCCCATTCCCAATAAAACACAAAGGGACGCATGCCTCGTCACGGAAGCTGGCGGGCACACTCAAGGTCAAAGCGGACATGCTTCAGAAATAAAACACAAAGAAAAGCACAGCAACGCAATGCTCCGTCACTGCAGCCGTTGTGAAGCCAGCAGGGTTCGCCACGCCTGCGCAGTGGGTGAGCGTGATGTCACCGCCAGAGCGCGAGTGCGATACCAAGACGTGACGCACTACTTGTAGAAATACGCTGCATGTAGGGATGCTTTGGCATTCCTACACGTAAGCAGTCTTAAGTTTCTCTACCGAATGTTTTTATTAGAGCAAGCCCCTTCAAAGGAGGTTGGGTGCAACTCTATGCAAAAGAGAGGGCTTTTAAAAGGTGAAACATGCAGCCAGATTTTAAACGCAGCTCGGTTCAAATGATGCAGCTGCGGCTTTCATGAGTCAGCGAACGCCTTGTATCCGGTTAGAGAAAAGAACACAAAAGCAGTCGCAACAAACACAGGTGTCGACTGTTGCCTGCTGTCCTTGCTTGCTTTTACTACCCTCCTAGATAATTGTTGAGAAACCAGATATGCGATGCAGGTGGCCAAGTGCTCTTCAAAATCTTTTATGTTCTTTATTCTTTTGCATCTTTCGGCCATTTTTAGCTCTCTCCAACCATAAAAAGACATAAAAAAAAAGAGTGCAAAAGAATGACGACAGACAAACGAAGTCAAAAGTACACGTTTGACCCTGCAAATGTTTGCTGTGCAAGAGCAGCACTACAAAGTAAACCTTTGCTGCTGTGCAAAACAAACCTTTGCTGAGGTGCTAAGCAAACGTGCGCTTTGCAGAGCAGCAAAAGGCATCACAATGCTTGTAAGACAGAAGTAATTACCAATCACAAAAAACTGTTTCGGTAAAAAAAAAAAAAAAATTGTTAAATTATGAATTTAGCAGCACTAGAAAAACTATGCATAACAGAGCCTCTCCAAAAATGTGCTCCAGGACCCGAATGATCTTCCTGCCTTCAACGGTGCTTCGGCAGCAAATGCACGGCCGAAGCTCGCATGTGCGCAACGCCAAAGCACCACCAAAGCAAGTCGAGTCGCAGAAAAGTCTAGAAAGCAGAATGCAATCACACTTTTAGAGGAGGACCCGAGGAATACTGGAGTTTTGTCACTCGATAAGAGCCGAACATAGCTCGTGCGTACCAAGTTTCACACCCATTTCACACAGTAGAGGTAAAAGCAAACCAGAGCCATTTAACGAGTTTGGCCAATGGGAGGGGCTCGTGGCCTGCTAGAACAACCAACCTTCACGACAACACGACATGGTGCGTCACGTTACAATAGACGATCGCGATTCGTTACGCATCGGCAACGCGAGATGGCGGAGGAAACGCACCATCTCCCAATTGCCAGGCCTCCAGCCGCAATTGCTAGCCCGGCGGCGCGGCTTTAAATCGAACAATATCGTGCCACCTCTCGCCGAATCGACGAGTGCCGGTCGTACCAGTGGCACCGTGCCCACAGCAGAGGTAAACGGTTGGGTGTCTACAGACAAAGAACTGCCTGGCTTAGACATTCAGTCTAAAGCAACAAAGGTGCAATAGCACACCGGTGCTCAGTTCCTACGCCACTGTCGGGCAAAGAGTATGCACGGGTGTGGAAAGCAATTAGGCAGTGCGCTTCCCTTCCACACTGCGAGGCGCTCTACCATGGCCATGCTGTGGCATGACCAAGGGCCTGTTCACACACTTGCAACCCCTTTTTGGACCGTGCACCTTAAAACCTCTTCTCTCACGACGAGAGGACGCGCTGACGCCATCTATTGGGTAATTGTGGAACACTTCCAGTGTTCGCACATTTCTTTTATTTTTGCACATCATTTTTTTCTTCTTTTTGGCTCAAAACATTTTTCACAATGTTATAAATTATCATTTCTCAAGGGACAGTATCTACATCCGACCTTGCAAACACCGCGAAACCTTCGCTCTAGCAAAATGAACTTCCGGGGTCACCTCACGGATGGCGCCAGTGTGCCAGTGAGTCCTCTCGTGCCGAGAGATTTGAAGAGGTTTTAAGGCACAAGGTGCTAAGAAAATGCGAGTGTGCGAACAGGCCTTAGCTCCGACGGGAGTGACCGAGGTTTGTGCAGGGTTCGCGCGCATCAAACTATATCACTGTAAAATGAGGTGAAACGGGGCGGGCCACACAAGAAATTACGCGGGCCTCCCGAACTTGCCCCGCGGAGACAGACGGCACGGACGAGGAGGGTGTGCTTACCTTCCGCTCCCGCGTGCCGAGGAGGCATTGGAGTCCCGCTGGGCCTCCAGCAGAAGCTTCTCCAGGATGTGGACGTTGCCGGAGAGAGGCGGCGTGGCACGGTCCGAGGACGACGCCCCGTAGTACAGCTCCACCCACGACTCTGAGAGAGAGGGGGACACCAGGCGTTGGAGAGAACTGCGTCACCTCGGTCCCTTCGGGCGCTCACAATCATAGTACTCTATCAATTGACCGATCTAGTGAACATAGTTGATTTGTCTGGACTAGAAACGGGGTAAGAGAGAGGGACACCAGGCATTGGAGAGAACCGCGTCACTTTCATGCAGGCGCTTGCAATCATAGTACTCAATCAATTGGCGGTTCTACTGAATATAGTTGATTTGTCTAGACCATAAATGGGGTATTGATCCTCTCAAATTCCCTGACTTTTCCAGGTTTCTCCCGAATATTTCGATTAAATTCCCAGGCTATTACGAAAAAAAGAAAAGGCACAAGGATGGGGGGTTGTAGTGACTGTTCGGGTTGTTCCCATTTAATCAGGTGAACCGTGTGGTGGCTTACGCTGCACAGTGATGCCTCGAGCAACTGTTACACTGCGCGGAAACCATACGCGCCACTGTGTGCCACGCGCTCCCACCTCGCTGTGTGTCACTGCACCACCCACGTCGGTCATTTTCACGACTTAACCGATTTCCTAGCTGACAATTTCTCTAACAAATCCTCCACTTTTCCAGATGCTCCAAAATTCCCCGACAGTTTCAGGTTTTCTGGGCTGGTAGACACCCTGATGAAAGATGTCAAGCAGGTGCTTTACGATTGATTGACTGACTGATCTGAACTAGCGAAAGCTGCTAAACATTAAAATTTTTAACCATAGAAAAGATTCCAAACCTTAGGAGGAACTGTATTATCTAGTGCGCTTCAAGTACTTGTAAATATACTGTTCGATTGATTGACTGATCAGGCAAACATGTTAGTAAAAAGCTCTTTTTTTTTTCTCATGCACAACTTTTTACAAAGGTGCATTTAGAAATAGTACTGGTCGACTACCCTACCATTGCGGAGCTGAAATTAATGAGTTTTGTTAGTTTACAACCACGAGTGTGCAGGTGAATCATCCCTAACAAACTAAATCAAGAAATAACTAAAACCTCAATACCGCAAAAGCCACAAAAAAAAAAAACAGTGAAACAAAAGAATTGAGGAAACATATATATAAAACACGAAAGAAAGTTGACATAGCACAGGAAGCCACCTGCAGAACGAAGGCAGACGCACTGGCGGATGTCGCATTCACACTTCATGACTAACGAGCCGAACGAGTGCACACAACGATCCGTTCCATACACCCGACTTCCTGCATCAAGGTCATCTAAAACCAGGGTGGAAAAAATATATACATTTTTTTATTAAACTAAATAAATCAGATTTATTTTATTTAAATCAATTTATTTGCTTCAATCACTATAGCTAGAAGAAAGGTAATTTTTTTATTACTAAATGTAGTTTTAAACATAGCAGGTTGATCGGTCAATCTGTCTGATCATTGAAAACAATGCCAAAAAGAAATTTAAAAGTGCAGTTATATTAAGTCTTTTATTGACCCTCTAATACTAGAACTAAAGCAGCTTGATTATTTAGTTAGTGAAAAAGCTTCATTGCTTTTTCTTTCGCGATCTGATTTGCTTGCACTATGACATTACTTTATTCGCTTTTTGTTTCTTTTTTTACATTCCGTTTTGCTTGCAATAGGATATTGCATAACTGATGAATGAAGTGGATTGGTAGAGAGAGAGCTCAATGCTCTGATGTGATCAGAAGAGCATTTCTTTTCACTTGTGTTCAGCATTATACAAATCTTTCTTGCTTGATGAGTATTTGATTTAAATGCACAGCAAATGTGCATAGATAGCATCAAATGAAAGACAAACTGCAAAGGAAAAATATTTCGGCCGATCATTTTGTGCGAGAGAGGTACGATTTAAATCATAAAAGTAAAGCCGGTGTGATCCAAATCACTACTTCAATCGTGATCAAAATCACAATTTGAATTATGATTTATATCATCTTTATTCTTATTCTCCACCCTGCTTGAAACCAAAAGGAACACTGGCCTCGCATAATAATATCAACTACCATGTGCATTTTATTTATCTACAGGGTACTGCAAGCTAATTTTGTAATCCAGGAATGGACGTAATATTTAACAGAACTAAAATAACAGATTATGCAATGTAACAAAACAGAGGGAGATGAAAAGTAAATATATAAAAAACAGGTTACACAAGACGTATTAAAATATGAGAGATTATAAGCTGCAACAAAAAGAGAGATGGAACAGGTGAAAAAAAAATATATAAAACAAGTTATATTGCTTCATGCAATCTGGAGATTGCACGAAGCAATATTAGGTAACCTTTTGAAGGAAAAAAAAACAAGAATTATAAATTCACCTGCTTCTCACGTCTGCATTGAAACTTGGTTTTCTGCTCAAACCGAAACAATGATTGACAGGTGCGGCAGCGAAGAGACAGTTTTAATTTCCAGGCAAAAATGTAACAAAAAAAACACTTCAAATTAAATGGGGGTATTTTACTGCCGAGCCAACAAAGGGCATCTGGCATACCTCAGCGGAGGACTACGGGTAAGGTATGCTTATTTGTATATGCAGACTGCTGCTTTTTACACACAAGCAGGGAAGTGCTTTTGTGCGACAGAACTGAACGTATGTTAACTGTATTAATGAACAAGTCTTCACCAAGAAAGTCGTAAACGTCGCGTTGAAAAGACCGCGACTTATTATTATTCAAACAAATATGTAGGGAACCCCGCAGATTAAGAAAGGGGGAAAAAAGTTGTTTTCAACGTACTCTGACACACCCACAAATAGTAATACTTTTTGTCGAAGCGATCAACAAACTAAAGCACAGCAGACACCTCCCATTCCATTTTTCAGTTCAGTGAAAACAAAATAAACGGAGTGTTTGAAAGCTTCCCCGTGTCTTGGGAAGTTGCCAGGTGCTGCACAAACACAAGTCCCCTCGCAGCTGCTCCATTTCCTTTCTTCTGAAGCTAAAAGAAATATCGGCTGAGTTTGCGACGAAAACACCTGGAAAGTGCTTCTTCTCACAAACTGGAATTACTCGCTCGGGCAGCAGCGATAAGGAACGCCTGGGACAGATACCCGAACAAAAAGAGAAGAGAGCGCGGTCTAAGTGCCTGCAAAACACGCGACCAGACGGAATGCACCCAAATTGCTTTCGCACGGCTTCTTGCAGGATGTCGTAGGTCCTTGCATACCGCCAAGTCGTAAATGCCTTACCTTTAATTGCCTTAGTTTGCGTGCAGCCAAACACATTCGAAACAAGCTTTTTGCCTGTGCCAGCCCTTTTTGTAGTGTCGCTAGTTCGTTCTAATAGCACTCCAATCTACATTAGATTTAGCAATGCGAAGTTCCTAGTTAACATGGTGATTATACTATTTGAAACATTAAACTTCATATTAGAATTTTAATATTAATTGTGACATTGGAGTTCTAAGTTAGAGGTCTAATATGAATGCACACTAAAATCCTTTTCTTGAATTAGAATTTCAATGGGCACTATAACTGACACATCTAACCAACACTAGTACTGACATCATCGACTCTAATGAGCATCAGAGTTTGTTTTACCTAACACTAAAACTGACATTAGAATGACAATTAAAATCTATATTCTGGCATTTTAGTTAGAGCTCGCGTTCAGTATCATGTCAATTCTAATCGACACCTCAACTGATTTTACGCACAATCGAAAGTCATTTATAATGGTGAGACACTCAAATTCAATGTCAACTAGAATGTCTTTGTAACGTTACAATCAGTATGTCGAGCGACATTATCCAAATTCTGGTTTGATTAAGGATCTGCAATGTCCAAATTACACAAAACTGGGAACAGAAAAAAAAAAAAAAAAGGGTGGTGCAAAAGATGGTTGCTTGACCATTTTTAGCGTGCCCTTTTATTGGACGATTGTGGCACCTCTCCCCCTTTGAGCTCTCTTCCCCTCCAGCCAACTCTCCAAACCCCGGATAAGACAGCCTTCTGGACGAAGCTCTGGCATCGCCCTCTCGTGGCCTCCAGCCGCCCCTGACGAGGAGGTCGCAACTCCACGCGACTCAGATTCCAGGGCCCCTTTCTCTCTTGGAAGCGAAAGCGTAGGGGTACGATTCCCATCCCCGAGGCCTACGCTTCCCTGCGCCTGGAGATTACACCCACAGCAGTCGCACACCGCTCCTACATCCTACAAAAGATGCAGACACGGTGACAGAGTCTATCCGAAAATATGCCTCTTCGAAGCATGTTTGCTTAAAGGGAAGCTACGGAGCTTCTTGGAAAAAATGAGTTAGAAGTGAATTCTAGTGTATTTTTACCCGGTGAACCCGAATACCCAAACCATTTGCTGCGTAACTATTGGTAAACGCGAGAAAAACGCGAAAGACAGTCGCTGTCCGTGACGTCATCGACGGCTCTTTTGGCTGCCCAAGGCTAGGGGGGCGGGGCTTCAGCCCTATTTTGAAATTGCTCTTGTGGCTCTCCGGCGCGTCGCATTGAAATATAATTTTGATATCTGTTATTCTAAAGCCCAAATGAACGCAATTCATGTGTTTTTTCTCAAATGTAGAAGTGCCCCATCTTCCCTTTAATGCATACGTATGCTTTGAGCATGTCTGTATGACCAATGTGGCAGGCCACCGTACAAGGAAGAAATGTGCCTCGGAAAGTGTCCGCGGGCCTTTTTTGTATGATGTATTGGCACTGTGACCGGGGCTTAAAAAAACACTGAACCTAGGAAAAAAACATTTTTATTTGTCTACCTGGTTAGGACGAGCAAGTTTTAAAATAAATGTTTGCCAAAAAGAAAAAAAATTTTTCCCCATTATTTAGGCTACAAATTGGATTTTTCTGTTTGCGGGTGAAACCGGAATTGCACCTTGTTTCACTTTATGCGCAAGTGAAGCTAAAGCTACGAGTATGAGCATGTTGCCCCATACGATGCTTGTACTGCGCAAGGACACGTGCTCGGCAGGGACGCCGAAAGCACGGAGCTCAATTCCAAATAAGGAAGGCTAAGTGTCTGATGAAGCAAATTATTATCAAAA